ATCTCATCGTACCTAGCGTAAGTGACGTGTAGCTTCAAAGAGAGCTGACCTAGTGCACAAGCGCCCTAAGTGTTAGGGCGCTTGTGCACTACACTGAATTTTCAGGTCAGGCGGTCCGATTTTTTCCGGTCCGGAATGACATGAAAAACTTGGATGAGTAGCTTGTGCACTTGTCCGTTTTTTTCCTGATCAAAGCGGCGCAGTGTAGGGCAGCTCTCTTTGAAGCTACACGTCACTTACGCTAGATACGATGAGATTTTTGGAATGTCGGTAATTACGTTAGAAGACGTAGAAAGGTACCTAAATAATGACCTGATAATTTTACATAAACCATAATAAATTATGGCAAGACGAAAGCATTTTTTTTAATACTGTTGGATGACCACTATCAGATGTAAAAACTTATACCTTTACTAATTTAGATACAGCATTATTCACATACAATAGCTAAAAATATCTGTGACATAAGAATAAAATTACTGATAATGGGTTAGTACTGGATATTTAAATTTATAAACGTACTTTCTTTTTTCGAAGTTTTGTAAAAACAACTTTAAGCGATTACAGAGATAGACCAATCGGTGGCGTCATTTCGTAAACAAATCGAAATTAGTGCTGTGTAAGCGGAGAATATTATGCTAGATGGACTTTACGAGATCAATTGACTGTATTATATAGAGGGATAATTTTATACGCGTGGTGTAGTTTCTTTGAGCAGAAATATTTTTCCCTTAGAAACTTTTTTTTTAAATTTCTGTTTGTGTAACAAACAGTCATTTCAATTTTTATTACAATATAGACTTAAATGTGAAAAAGACATTGAGTGTCACTTAGTTAATTCTGTTAATCATCTGTTTATTCTTTATTATTACTTTTGTTATCAAATATTTATCTATACTTATCAATTGTCTAAAAAAAATTTGATAATGACAAATTTCCACTTTCATCCCCTATCTTTTGCGATAAAATGTAACCTATATCCTTTCTAAAAAGTTCAGTTTATTTACTTTATTAATTTCCATTAAGATGGGTTCAGTTGTTTAGGCGTCTAAGCGTAACAACACTTATTTATCTTATCTTAAGTTATCGATACTATTAATACGATTCTAAAATCTAGCTAAGTATCGATACTAGAACCATACGCTGATCAAATTAGAACTATACCGAGTTTGCCAAAGCATATGCAGTGATATTTACCAACTATATTAAATCATCATATAAAATATAGCATTTTATAATCTACAATAAATATCGATTATAAGTTTTATTGGAAATTAACAATATCGCCAAAATATGCTTGGGAAAAATATCGATTATACACAAATCGATTATTTTTCCCAAGCCTATTCCTTATGAATTTTTCGGATCGCGGACACAGCAGTGCACAAGCGTAAACACGTTTTTTATTGCCGCCATCTCGGACCTGAAAAAACCGGTCAGGAATAGTGAAAAGTAAAATCCCGGACGGTAAAATTCCTGACAGTGCACAGGCTAGCATTACCTATATATGGCCTGACATATCGGACCTGAAAAAATCGGACCGCCGGACATGAAAATTCAGTGTAGTGCACAAGCGCTCTTAGGGCGCTTGTGCACTACACTGAATTTTCAGGTCCGGCGGTCCAATTTTTTCCGGTCCGGAATGACATGAAAAACTCGGATGAGTAGCTGTGCACTTGTCCGTTTTTTTTCCTGATCGGAGCGGCGCAGTGTAGGGCAGCTCTCTTTGAAGCTACACGTCACTTACGCTAGGTACTATCAACAAAATTTCTGGGACGTTGGTAATTCCGTTCGAAGACGTAGAAAGGTACCTAAATAATGATCTGATCGTTTTACATAAACCATAATAAATTATGGCAAGACGAAAGCATTTTTTTTACTACTATCGGATCACTACTATCAGATGTAAAACTTATACCCTTACTAATTTAGGAACAGCATTATTCACATACAATAGCTAAAAATATCTAACATTAGAATAAAATTACCGATAATGGTCTAGTACTTGATGTTTAAATTTTTAAATGTGCTATTTTTTTTCGAAGTTTTGTAAAAACAACTTTCAGCGATTATAGAGATAGACCAATCGGTGGCGCCATTACGTAAACAAATCGAAATTAGTGCCGTGTTAGCGGAGAATTATTATGCTAAATGAACTTTACGAGATCAGTTGACTGTATTGTACATAGGCATAATTTTATTCGCGTGGTGTAGTTTCTTTGAGCAGAAATATTATTCCCTTAGAATACTTACTTTTTTAAAATTTATTAATGACACAAACATACATTTAAAATTTTATTAAATGCAAAAAAGACATTGAGTGTCACTTAATTACTTTTGTTAATCTTCTGTTTATTCTTTATTATTACTTCTGTTATCAAATATTTATCTATACATATCAATTGTTTAAAAAAAATTTGATAATGACAAATTTCCAGGCAAACTTTCATCCCCCATTTTTCGCGATAAAATGTAGCCTATGTCCTGTCTTAAATTTAAGTCTATTTACTATATTAATTTCCATTTAAATGGGTTCAGTTGTCTAAACGTAACAACACTTATTTATCTTAATTAAGCTATCGATACTTTTAATACGATTCTAAAATCTAGCTAAGTATCGATACTAGAACCATACGCTGATGAAATTAGAACTATACCGAGTTTGCCAAAACATATGCAGTGATATTTACAAACTATATTAAATCATCATATAAAATATAGCATTTTATAATCTATAATAAATATCGATTATAAGTTTATTGGAAATTAACAATATCGCCGAAATAAATATCGATTATACACAAATTGATTATTTTTTCCCAAGCCTATTCCTTATGAATATTCCGGATCGCGGACACAGCAGTGCACAAGTGTAAACACGTTTATCATTGCCGCCATCACGGACCTGAACAAACCGGTCCGAAATAGAGAAAAGTAAAATCCCGGACGGTAAAATTCCTGACAGTGCACAGTGATACACTGAATTTTCATGTCCGGAGGTCCGATTTTTTCAGGTCCGATATGTCAGGCCATATAAAGGTAATGCTAGCCTGTGTAGAAATTTTACCGTCGGGGTTTTTACTTTACTCAATTCCGGACCGGTTTTTTCAGGTCCGTGATGGCGACGATGAAAAACGTGTTTACGCTTGTGCACTGCTGTGTCCGCGATCCGAAAAATTCATAAGGAATAGACTTGGGAAAAAATAATCGATTTGTGTAAAATCGATATATATATCAGCGATATTGTTAATTTCCAATAAACTTATAATCGATATTTATTGTAGATGATAAAAGTGCTATATTTTATATGATGATTTATTATAGTTGGTAAATATCACTGCATATGCTTTGGCAAACTCGATAAAGTTCTAATTTGATAAGTGTATGATTCTAGTATTGATTCTTAGCTAGATTTTAGAATCGTATTAAAAGTATAGATAACTTGAGGTAAGATAAATAAATGTTGTTGGTAGCTTATGTCCTTTCTTAAGGTTAAGTCTATTTTTATATTTAATTGCATTAAGATGGGTTTAGTTGTTTACGCGTCTAAGCGACAACACTTATTTGTCTTACCTTAAGTTATCGTTAGTTTTAATACGAGGCTAGAATCTAGCAAAGTATCGATACTAGTACCATACGATGATCAAATTAAAACTATATCGAGGTTACCAAAGCATATGCAGTGGTATTTACCAACTATATAAAATCATCATATAAAATATTGCATTTTATAATCTACAATAAAATCGATTATCAGTATATCAAAAATTAACAATATCGCCGAAATTAATATCGATTAATCATTAATCGATTATCAGAGTACTAGAGGCGCTGCTTTCAAAGAGTTGGCACAAAATTTCTAAAACACAGTTCTCTTTCACCTAATGAGGTAGTATTTAAAAAAAAATAGTATTAAAACTACATCAAGTCTCAATAATGTTTTTATATTACGTGTGGTGAATGAATGAATAGGGTTTATTAATTAGTAACAAAGGTCATAAAAAACGATAATTATAATAAAAATCCGTATATACTCAACTGATACGTATCAAATATACAATCACGTTTGTGAAAGTACAACGTGTAAATAAGTTGTTCTCTCGAAATTAAGAATTAAAAAAAAAACGAAGTTCGGATATTAAAACTCAATAAACAACTTATATCAGTGTTATTAATAAAATAAGGTTTAGAGTGTACTTAGCAAAGGTTACTCTTTTACGAAGTTCGTAGGTAGTATTATTTACTCCAAGAAGGTAGTAAATTTGGTTATCCCTTGTACAATATGATTTAGGACTAATACTAAAATTTCAATTTTATTGTAAATTTACTCTGACGCCAAGCCTTGTTTATTAATAGCCCTTTATGAATTAAAGAATAGATATGATATTCTGCTTTATTGCTGAAGATCTGTTACTCTTAATAATTTTCATTAATATTGGCACACCAAATTACTAAAAATAAGTTTTATTGCCTTGACATACGGTCAGTCTTATAGTGCCTTATATATTGAAAAGTAACCGATTATTCCGATTTAAACTATTTATGAATATTGAACTATAAGTCCTTATAGCTCATATGTCTGAAACGTTTCTAACCTTAATCGTTTTTAGCTTCATGCTTACGCGGACCGAACTTTGAGATTCGGATGTGTACAGTGACATCAAAGACTACAGTGTATAATAGTGACATGGGATTCTGTTAGAAGGGTAAATGTGTTCTGTGGTAAGAAGTGTCAAAATTGGACTTTCTTTGTGACGACTGATGATTCTAAACACTAATCATATAAATTTATTTACATTATCTACTCCTTTAAATGTTAAATACAGAATCAAAGTACAAAGTATTATTTTCTATGAATTGATGAGAGTGCTGATATTTTTAAACTGTTTGCTTTTTGAATATAATTCTTAATTTATTACCGTCTGATTTTCGACAGTAATATCGTTTGCGATTACTTTGAGATGCCACGATAAATTGGATGTTTAAAAAGATTCTAAAACATGCCTTCAACCGAGTCAGGGGATCAATATTCTGTTTGGGTAAGCAAACATTGGTATAAGAAAACTTGAAATAATGCTTATATAAAGTTATAAAACAACACACTAATCATGATTATCTCAGTTTCATGCGTAATGTAATCTTAATAATCTTATTTGTATTAAAATTCATATTTTAATAATATTATTTAAATTTTATATAAAATATAATTTACATACTATTAGTTATAAGTCTTAGTGAAGGACAAGCAGGACTAGGGAGAAATTCATGAAATATGTGTAATATAATTATGGATTGCCTCCAAATTAATGACATACATCCCATTGCACAAATGTGGATTAAAATAGTCATTAGTATAAAACATTAGAGGTTAAAGTCATTGTTCAACCATAATGGATGTTTGTGCAACTGGGTGTTTTGTAACAACATTCATTAATAACTATAATCAAACAAATAACAAAGATGTTTCAAATATTCAGAAGATATCCTTAAATTTTTGCTACAATAGTAACATTATGTAATTTCTTTGCCTGAAATTGTTGAAAATGAATTCAGCTAACTAGCAGCTGTTCCACAAACATAGTACTGTTTTCTGAAACAATCGCAGAAACTGTTACTTCTGTATTATCTCTCAGGTAAATGAATATTTATTTATGAAATAAAAAAGGAGTCATCTAGCCTACTATACATAAAGTTATTGCTACTTCCTGATGATGACTAAATGAAAATGTTATTGATAAGACTAAATGAAAATGTGTTCAGTAATTTTTGAGATTGTTTCATTTGTTGTTACTTGCTGCAATTTTTAATTTATAAATTTACTACTTGTACTCTAAATGTTACTTAAATTGTTTTCCAGGTGGGGTTAGTCTATATTTTTAATTTGATTGTTGGTACTGGAGCACTCACATTACCAGCAGCATTTGCTAAAGCGGGATGGGGTCTCAGTACTGTGTCACTGGTGTTCTTAGCTTTTATGAGCTTCATGAATGCTACTTATGTCATTGAAACAATGGCATGTGCTAATGCAGTGTATAAATGGAAGAGATTACAGACTATCAAAAGGGAGAGTGTGAGTATTTTTTATCATAGTAATTTTCGCATGATGACATATTTTATGGATTATCATTTAATATTACATGGTTTTTTTTTTTTATTGATTGAGTTAAATCGTGTGACGTCATCATACCTTTGTACATTCTCTACATAGTTGTGCCATAGTGAGCCCCTACTCATCAACTTTGATGCCAATCTAGCCATATTTTGTTAAATAGAAGCGAAAAATACATATCTAATATTTTTCTAGTATCTGACTGATGGACTAAATAAAAATTTCTTTTTTACCCAGTTGTCAACCCCTTTTAGAGGCTATGTCACTCACATACAATATAGCTAAAAAAGTAAAGGCTGGTTTAGGCTACAGAATGTGAACCTACACTTACTGTAAAAGATATTTTCATTAAGTTGTTTCTATCCTTAGTGGTTTATACAACCTTTATTTTTTATGGTTATATAAAGATGTTGTTTTTCTAGATCCAAGACCATGACTCTGATGATGAAGCTACTCAGCATGCATATGGGGATCTCGAAGAGCCCCTGGTCTGCGGAGACTCCATACCATCACGGTACTACAGTCTCGACCGACGTGTAGAACTCGGAGAGATGGCAAATCTGTTTTTCAATAAGACCGGGAGGATTTTATTTTTTTGTACACTATGTGTGTATCTGTATGGTGATTTATCTATATATGCTGCAGCTGTGGCCAAGTCGATTATGGATGTTATATGGTAAGTATTTTAACTCAGCAAAGGAATTCTATATTACTAGCTTTATGCCAGTGGCTTTGCCTGCGTTCTTTGCGTGCTTACATAGCCTATCGCCTTTCTCAATGCATAGACTACTATTCTATTATTTGACACAAATATAATTTTTCAATTGTCACTAGTAGTTCCTGAGATAAGTGTGTTTAATTAGACAAAGGAATGTACTGGAAACAAACAAAAAAATCAATTTGGTGTATGGAAATCTGGTGCATCCCTTAAATATCTGTATAATTTTAATTTAATAATTTATTTTTAAAGTTATATATTTCGTAAATATTTTAAGTATCTAATTGTTGTTGTTATTAATATCGAGTAAAAACGAGCAAAAAAAAAAATGTTTGTTGAATGTAGAATAAAATAAATAAAATGGTTTTAAGTATTTGTTGTTGAAATGGCAACATAAATGATTGTCTGTCCAGCAGGCGGATTATCATCTGTGAAAATTTCATCTGTGTTTACTTTCATGGTTCAAAAGATACAACCTGGTGACAGACAGATAGATAGATAGACAGACCGGTAGCAATGTCTTAGTAATATGGTTCCCATTTTTTGTTTACGGAACCCTAAAAATAGTCACTCAACGAAAGATGAACGAAGACATCTTATTCCAAAAGAACAGTAGCAGAGACTTAAGCAGTGAAATAAAAAGAACTTATAATTTCCGTTCAAACAGTTACACGTGTTATTTGTAGGTTGGAATATTTGATCAGATGTTACTGTTACGTCAATTGAAAATGCTTGCAGATGCAGCGTAAATATTTCCATTTATAACAAGACGTCAACTTTATTATTAGTTGGCATAACATCGAATGAGATTGTGTGGGTATGGTGGTACACACGTCTGGTCACCACAATTTTTAAATTTCCTCGATTAATTTTCAATTCTACATACAATGTATTAAGGTTTAAAATCAGAAATGAGTTTTGTATAGTCTGACGTGCTGCTGACTTTAATTTAGCTTTAGCTGACTTTAGTAATTTGTCATATTATTTGCCATTTTTTTTTTATAACGGGCTCACTCTTGACTTTGGTCTAGCCGAAGGATATAAATGAGATCACTTAAAATAAACTAAATATTAAATAATCAGTCTTATTATTCTATCACGTGACCTACAAGGCCAAAACAACTTATTCCACGTATTTCTAATTAAATATAACCTTGGGTGCTTCAAAAAAGGTGTGAAAAGGCTCTTTGATAGGCCGGCAAGATAGTGGTGGCTACCGGGAGTAGTTTCGACTTCTGACAGCTGCGACTATTATTAGACTGTAATATCACTTCCCACCAGGTATATTACAGTCACTTTGTCGTGCAACAATTAAAAAAATAAAACATAAAAAGACTTAGCAACCTCACTGAAAATAAAGGCTGCACTCATTGTGGCATATGTCGAGCTGGAGTCTTTGTGCACACCATGCTGGAATACCTGTCTGTGTAATGTGATTTTCTGTAATTTGTGTGTCCAATAAATTATTATTCTATAGGGATAGGATAGGCCCAGCAGTGGAGACAATAAAAAGCTGGGGATGATAGTTTTAATATTATCTAAACAATTTTTTTAATAACTTCGTTTTAGTGCTACAGTGCCATCGAATTCTTCGGACCCCGCTGATTGGCAACAGCTGCCATGTTTCAACACGACAGCGGCATCTGTACACGTGTATACCCGCATCGAGGTGTACCGTGTGGCACTTTTGACCTTCGTGGGCATCATGGGGCCGTTTGTATTTTTCAACGTGCAAAAGACCAAGTATCTACAATTGTTCACGTCTGGCATGAGATGGCTTGGTAAGTATCTGATAATGTTATAAAATATACAATCTTATTACAAAAGAAAACTAACTTATTACTATAGACCATTATTCGAACAAAATAATTCAACATGTCTCTTTTTGACGTTTCCTAAAATTATAAAGTGGAAAGATATCATTGTTTGTTTGTTTGAGACCAATAGACTCCGAAACTTAGTAGTTCCAGATATTATATGATGTTGCTTTCCGTAGGTGAACATAGGCTATATTTTATCCCGAAAAACAGCAAAAAATGGGAATGGAAGTTTATATTGGGAATTAAAACTTTTTATCCCACTAGACATATGGAGAACGGCTTCCCAGAACTGGGGGTAGGGGGGAAGGGTATGGTCGCAATATCAAGTTTTTGCCTCGATCGGAAAAAACCGTAGATCTGAATGTGACCAACCAACCCACCAAGTGCCCTCTTAAGTTATTTAATTCAAATTTAACACCAAAAAACGTGTCAAAGTAGTAAAATGAAACGAAATATAATAATATGCGTTAAGATTTCGTATCCTATGGCTAGACAGTTATTCTGTCGCAAAACAGTCTTCTCTATGAATAAAATCGAATGGAATAGGCAGGCCTATTCGGCTACAGTGCTATTAATAAACAAGGTTTTGCGTCAGAGTAAATATAGCGTAAAATTGCAATTTTAGTATTAGTTCACATTCATATTATACAGAGAATATGCAAATCTACTACCTACCTAGTGAATATTACTTCTTTAGAACCGTACTAGGTTAACCTTTGCCAAGTCTCTGTTTAATAATATGAATTTTGACTAATACTAAGTGCAGTTGCAGCGTAAATGTAGTCTAATACTAAATATTGTTTATTAATAACACTGCAAATGTTTACGTACTCATAGAACCTCAACTACTTGCATATAACCATTGTACCATTTACCTGAAGTCCAATATTAATGCAATGTCTTCCACACACCAATTCCAATGGTGTCTCATATATAATTATACTAGCTGTGCCCGCAAATAGTGACTTTCGGAATATTGACTTTCTCTTTCGTTATTATTAAATACTAGTGGCCGCCAGCGACTTCGTCTGCGTTTTCCATTATTTCTTCGCTCCTTATAGTTGTAGCTTTAAAAAAGTAATATAGTCGCCCGTGTTTTGTAACATTTTTCATTGCTGCTCCACTCCTAAAAGCCATAGCGTGATGTTATATAGGTAAAAGCCTTCCTCAATAAGTGGACTATTCAATACAAAAACAATAATTCAATTCGTACCTGTAGTTCTTGAGATTTAAGAGTGCAATCAAACAAACAAACTTTTCAGCTTTATTATTAGTATAAATATAGACTTCAAGTAGACGATTGTTGAATTGATGTTGTCTAATATTAATTTATTATATTCCAGCGTTTGCAATAATGATCTCTATGGCACTTCGTTTGCTCTGCGTTCGCGGGCCTGCTGGACATCCGGGCGCGTTCTCATTTTCTGGATTGCCGCAGTTATTCGGCGCGTGCGTCTACTCATTTATGTGTCATCACTCTTTACCTGGCCTCGTCAGTCCCATCCGTGGCAAGAACCACCTAGGTCTCCACTTCGCGCTCGACTACTGTCTGATCACTGCCTTCTATCTCCTTCTAGCATTCTCCGGCGCGTTTGCGTTCGCCCATCTTAACGACCTCTATACTCTAAACTTTGTACCCACAGACAATGAAAACATATTTCTAGAAATAGTCGAATACTTCCTCGCTCTCTTCCCAGTCTTCACCCTTTCCACGAGCTTCCCTATAATAGCTATAACCCTTAGAAACAACTTGCAGAGTCTCTTTTTAGACACATCTCGTTTAGAATCTTACAATTTTTTACTTAGAAAACTATTGTTTCCAATAATCACAGTTATTCCACCACTGTTGTTAACGTACTTCTTGGAAGATATAAGCGTTCTGATCGAGTTTACCGGCTCTTACGCTGGAACAGGTATTCAGTATCTGATACCCACTTTCCTAGTGATGACCGCTAGGCGGCATTGCTTCAATCTTTTGGGTTTAGGCGTTGTTAATAAGTATAAGAGTCCTTTTTCGAATGTCGCTTGGGCTTTGTTCGTTTTATTGTGGTCATTTGTGTGCCTAGTGTTAGTATCTGTAAATATGTTTGAAAAGAAATCATGACAATGATTTTGTATATTTAAAATATTTTTACTATAAGTAGAGTTAATATTTATATATTTTATAATTAAATATTATTCTTTATTTTATACTGCGAAATCACTCTTCTGCATGCTATTATGTGCTAATAATACACGTATTATTGAACGTATAGCATGAAATTTTAATATTTCTAAACATCTTTCTATGCATGAATAAGATAGAAAAATGATGGAAATATTGTAAAAGTTGTATGTTTATTTACAAGTAGATATCAAAGAGATTATATAAATAAATAGGATTATTTTCAACGTCGCGAATTTATTCATTCTTTGATATGATTACATCTTTTGAGTGTAGATTTAAAAAAATATCCAAAGCATTATGTATAAATTATGTACTGTAGTCCGGACGACAAAGAGAGATAATATCGTACGTTTACTTTTGTGCCTACTTATAGATATCGCCTACATTTTTGGTCAGTTACACTTTACTATGACATAATTGGTTAGATGCATATGTGCGAGCGCAATAGTGAAAGAGATAATGCCGGGTCATTGTACGGAATTCTCTCTGTTCGGCGACCGGACCATATGTAAGTGCTCGTATGTTTTAGTGTTACGCACATTATGGCTGCCTACCGGTCTTCCCCGATGAGAGTTGTTAGGTAATGTGTTATCGTATTATGAGATTTGTGATAAGAATATAAAAAAAAATCCTGGTGTTGTTGTGATAGATGACAATTCACATGAAATGACAATACTATTTTTTAAAAACTAGCAAATTTTGAAAACCTCTTTGATCTCTTTTGTGCTATAATATAATGTAATGCTTGTATTAAACTTTGAACAATAATACGACTCGCTAATGTAATTTTCATAAATATAAATGTTTTAGTTCGATGAATAATGAATTTATTTTGGGCAGAATGGTAAGTGTAAGTTTCACACTAACGCGTTCACTAGTGACCGTGTTAAGGTTTTGTATGGAGATTTGTAGTTCTTGGTAGTTACCGCTAGGGGCGCTGTACCGGATTCCATACTAAAATCTTAACGCGGTCACGATCGACAGTGAACGTAAACGTCAGAAAAACTTACACTAAGCGCTTAGTTCTTTATTATGTATATGTAATGCGTCATGGCGGGATCAGTATTAAGATTAGCATAATATGGTTTAGTAGACTAAACAGGTACTTAAATTGTTATACGCGAATCCTAATTCTAGTAATCAACAAGAATATGCCATATAACATGTACACCGCATATCAGTATGTTAAAATATGCTGTCTCACTTACGCTACTGAAATATGAGTGGGATAATAACACTCGTGTAACGATTGTCGATAAAAAATCTCATGTTAGGTCGGCAGGGATAGTTTGAAACAATTTCTGATATCTAGTCAACTCCATAGTGCTCTGTCCTACTTTATGACATTAAGAATTCGTAATTTAGAGCCGGATAGACTACTAAACTATTCACGATACATTCCAACTCGATTTTAAGTGTACTAATAAACAAGGTTTTGCGTCAGACTAATTCATATTTTACAGAGAATAAGCAAACCTACCTTCTAGGAGTAAATATTACTCCTGTAGAACCTCGAACTCGGTTAACCTTTGCCAAGTCTCTGTTTGTTAATATGAATTTTGACTAATACTAAGTGCAGTCTCAGTGTAAATTTACTCCAACGCTAAACCTTGTTTATTAGTACCACTGTAAGTGTTTAGTCAAATTCTAGCGATAATAAGACTTCTTGGCGATATTTAGTTTCTACTTGAATATATCTTTTAATAAATTTGGAATGAATAAAATTGAATTATCTTTAGTTGGTCATACCGCTATCAAATCCATAATCCTCATGCTTCATCATTCGTTTGTTGTTAATAAACACCAAGATGTATAATATGGCTAGCGACATAACTAGAGAGTTATGCCGTGGCAGGCCTGGAGGACGATGGTAGTTCCTTAAATGTAATTACTGAACCCGCCATCTTGACGTTTGTGCTAGAAGCATATTCTAATAGCTCATATTAATTTTATGTATAATTATGGCAGCAGGCTAAGGCAGCTGGCTGCTCTGTCTTTGTTGCTAATTAATAAGTGAAAAGTTGTCGAGAAGGACTAAGATTGCGGTTGTTCCAAAATAAAAGACTGACACGTTAATTTTAATAATTTGTTTTAAAAAGTCAAGTGACTGCCTATCTCCTCTTATTATGACTTAAGTCATAGGTTACGATATCTTAACGAACGACGAACGAATGATAAAGAATGATAACTAAGAATTTGATTTTGGCAAGTTTATCCACCAAAAGACATGTTAAAAGTAAAATAAAACGAACGCCTTAACGTCGCTAAGATCTCGTATCGTATGGCTAGAATTGAGACTATACATTAAGGCGGTCTCTCCCCAGGTAGTGTTAGTATTCATAGTAAATCAGTATTTTTTTGATTTACATATCTAATATATTTTACGTATTATCTAAAAAGGGACTATGATTCATGTACAGTTGTACACAAGACACTCAAAACGGGGACAGATTATGTTTTTTATAAAAATTACATATACAGTTTTTATTTTGGAACAGTCGATTGACTACTCTTGGCGTCTTTTACACCAGTACCTATAGTCGAGTAAAAGTAATTACATGATAAAAAGTAATCAAATAAGTAAAAAAAATAACAAATAAAGGAGTATTTGAATGCCGGTAAGAATCCTATTCTTATTAGCTAATAAGTTTTTATTTAATCCAAATTCTCCTCTAGATATATATCTGCTTAAATGAGGACATTTTCTCAAGTAATTACTTATCTCGACTAAATATACGAATGTTAGTTTCCAGTCCACTTTGTAAAAAATGGCGTCCCAGTGAGGTGTAGCTCTCTTAGCGACTTATAGTTACCACTCGGTAACCATGGCGTCCTTAGTGGCATGTGGCTCTAGCAATGGCTATGTAATATTTTTCACATAGATTTATCATAAGTGTATTTTGAAGTCCTTCAATATATTATTTTGCTGTGATAGTGTAACCATTTCAATCGTAAGTTTAGATGAAATAATAACGACTGAACTTATTTTTTTTATTAATATTATTATTGTTGAAAGTATATTTTGTAATGAAATAAAACGTTTTTATTTTATGCATTCTTAGTTCTCGTTTTCTTTATCATCCCTCCTTCAGATATATTATTTAACGGCAGCAATTCTGTTGGACAAAGTTAATTATAACCCTGTCAAACTATATTAATTTTCAATTTTGTAAATAATTAAGGTAGCAGAAGTATAATTAAAAAATAATATATAAAGACTATGCGATTAACTGAAAATAGACTCCAGTTATCTGCAGCAGATGTAGACTAGGCACCTTTTGGATACTATATCGGATGCGATCGACTATTTCTTTCAATAATGTAAAACTTAAATAACTTAGAGAATTGGTACCGTTAACGATTGAAAATAAACTAATAATTAAACGAGAAAATTGAATATACAAGTGCAAAGCAGTAATTGATTTTTATTTAATCGATATATTGAACCATTTTGTCGTCTTACCTTTTTAAACTAACACTGTAGAATGGGACACGATGTCCCTGTTGTTTTTTACAGTACATTTCAAAGATGAAAAATTTGTAGTAAGTTTCGTTTCCTTGACTAATTCAATACACTGTAAGATTGTAGTCAAAGCACTCTTCATTAAAATTGGACTATGAATACAAAATGACCTCAGCGAGACGGTTGTTAAGCAACTTTCGCAATGACCTGTCATAGGATGGGTGACCAAAAATTTACTATCTCGAGCTCCTTGATTCGGGAGGTACGTTAAGCCGTACCGGTCCCGGCTGTATCTGTAGTCGTTAACACACATGGCCCATTCTCCCTATTTGATTTTATTAGATTTCATCCACAGGAGTGGCCGGAGCCCCAGCAGTGGTGAGATTCAAAATCATCATAACGTAAATATAAAAAAATAAATAAGCAACGACAGGTGCCATTGACTTTTTTTATAATTACTTTAAGAAATATACACGATATACGATTTAATGCTCAAAAAATGGGAAGTAAATCGCCGAGTTGGATCTGTGCCGTGAAGTATGCTATAACCTTTACTCTATCCAATAAAAAATAATAGGGATGGTGACTTATATTTTTGGCTGTACGTCAGGTATACAGAATAAACGTGTATTTTTTTCTTAATCAATGAATTACGGTGATACTTTGTGTCGAAACATAGTATGACGTCACACCTATGTACATTTTGTACATAGTTATGATGTAGAGCCCCCACTCCTCAACTTAAATGCCTATTATCTAAACCCAATTGGTTGGCAAGAAATATGCATCTAATATGTTTCTATTATCTGACTAACGGACTAAATAGAATTTAATTTTTATACCAAACTAGCTTTCCCGCAAAAACCGAAAAAAATCGCATCAAAATCCGTTGCGTAGTTTTAAAATTTAAGCATGCATAAGGAAATGGGGACAGAGAAAGCGACTTTATTTTATAATATGTAGTGATCATCATCTCTAATATAAAAACTCGAGACTGTCAAAAGTTACACATAAAAATAAACGTAGACGAGAGGACCTCTTGTTTTTCGTCGGTTTATTAATATTGCTTGTTGCGAGTTAATTATCTTCTATAAGAGATTTTCGACCTTACGTAACATTTCACAGTAACAGTAACAACAAAGCAAAGGTAAGAAATAAGACAATTTTAATGTTCAAGAATCATTTATTTTATCCATCATCATTATACATAGTTGTCACTTATTTCGTGTATAAAAGCGACAAAAGCCTTTCATAGCTCAATTGACTTTGGCATGAAGTTACATTGTATTTGTGCTGCCGCTGGGCGGCATGGGCGTGCCCCTCGTGATCCATAATAGATAGGCGAAAAAACGGCCGGCGAACATGACATTTTCATACCAGAGGAAAAAAATAATTATAATTAGAGAGAATAAAGACCTTGTTAACACGAAATAAAGTAGATTTAAATTAGTAATGTCAATATAGTTTACAATATCAGCCCGCTGCGCTGTAAACTATGTAATCGGGGAGTTGTTTGTTTGATAAAAGAATGCTGAGAATGCAATAGAATTTACATAAATGTAGGATAGATTACATATGATAACTCTTAAGTTGATTGTAAACTGATCATGTACGCCGGACCTAAACAATACGGGTATTTTAAATACTAAAAAAGCGGGTTAATATCAGAAAATTTCGTACGCACTAGTAGCACAAAACTTACTGGGGATTTTTTTTTTATACTTACATTATATATTTTTTAATTTATTTTTTTTAACAGTGATTCGCGTGAAACTCTTTGGCACAGCCGCATCGTATACACAGCAGCACAGTACAATAGGCCTTTCTGCAATCAATTTTAAACTTAACTAGCAACATAATAAAGCTTATAATCGATCGGAGAAATATGGCCTCTTGTATTAATACGTGCCGTTTACTGAATCGGCGTTATAATATTTGGGCACGGTCAATCAATGTGAAAAATATTGTCTAGTTGTATGTACAATCTGCTTTATGTTTTTCTATCTAATGCTAGGTTGCCTGGAAGAAATAGATAGCTAGATGTAAGGCCGCCTATTGTACGTTAGTTTTCAATGTATGTCTATGTCATTTTCACAATGTGCAATCGAGAGTTACAGATTACCATCTTCATTTGGAATATCTTGCCATTTACATTATTCTATACACTGTGGATACTTTTAAATATATTTAAATCCTTGAACTTCACCTAATATATAACGCTGAATGTGTAAATATAATGTTAATTCACTATATTCAAGCAAAATACTTTGTGTATATTAATTCCTACCTAATTAAATGTTCACTAGACTTTTGTTACACGGCTGGACCAAAGAGTCATTCCTTAACTATGTGTTTTCACTAAAAAAATAACAGTTAAAAGTTGAAACAGGAGTAGATCAACTAAAACTAATCTAAATTTATTATGTACTGCGTTACAAATTTGGAAATTTAAACGAGAGCCCCGTATAGCTCATTATCATTCAATATAAATAGTTACGCTGTATCAAACAAAACTAAAATATAATTACGTAAAAAAAAACATTTCAATCATTTATACACAATAATATTTCGCATTGCCAGTACTATAAAGACGTAACTGATATTTTGTAAATTACGCAAGCGCCGTTTTTAAAAATTTATAAATTATCACACCAAAATGGAAACATGCTATTTTCTTGATTTCCTAGTTTCATACTATTTAAAAAACGAGTGAGAAAACATCCGTTATATTTTTATTTTTTATTCAATGGTGACATCAGGTGGTTCATTTTTATTTAAAACAGCGCCATCTAGTGCTCATCATTTGAACTATTAAACAATGGTTAGAGCACTGTATTTTGGTTATTTATCAGAAATTTTGTCGGTCACGTCTTTAGAGTACTAGAGGTGCATGATGAGACAATTCATATTCATACATTCTCTTTCACACAAACAATGATGCGCCGATACACGTTGCCAACGAGAATAAAACCGAACTCTCACTACATTCATACACAAGTAGCCGTAATATTAACCGTCTTTATTGTAATAACAACAATAGTGTAGCAAAATATCAATTCAGAGCAATAGCTTCGGCTTTGAAAATACAATTTCAATAAGTACTCGTAAAACTAACCGCAATAACGCCGCACTATTAAATAAAGTAGACATTACTTTTTAACAAATAAATAATTAATAATCTATTCATCAATAAATCTAGCAATCGTTTATCATTCGAATAAGATCGAACATTCCATTTAGAATTTTATTATTCAATAATAAGGATGATTACTTTCATATTGGCTAGCAATATGAAACAACAGATCCGTATTCCATGCATTCATTACAGCCTAATATTTCAATGAAAATCGGTATATGAATTTTGAGAATTCCTAAAAACGCGAAGAGGAACAGAAATATAGATAATAGCTATCACTTACGGTTCGAAAGTTCTAAAACATACCTAAGTCGAAAAAGTACATCACAATAAATACTATAGCTACGAACGTATATATTTAGATCTGAGATGTTTTACAATCGAAATAGAAACTAGCCTCCCCCCACTGTGATTTATTTATTATTCGATTAAGTGTGAATATTAATTTACTAGTCTAGGTTAGAGGTTAGGCTATAATGTGGATGGGGGGACGGGGATGTCGTTACGACGGAGGGCGTTGCGGAACGAGTCTAGTGAGGAGCGGAGGGTGAGGCAGAAGCCTCGCGAGGCGGGGATGAGGGGATAGTCGGGGGGACAGACGTCCGGGGGGGCGGCCCCGTTGGACAGGGCCACTATCCCCTCGAGCCGGTGACATAGGGAGCCGGCGTTGGCGCGCATATGTTCTAATATCTCCTCGCGGAACGGCTCCGGGGGATTCATAACCATTTTAGTCATGGATTGGACCAGTTTTAAAAGGACCATCTCGTTGTACATGCGCGAGTTCTCCTTCCCTTGTTGAGTGCCTGCAAAAGTACACAGTCCACCATTAGCCTGGCCACATTCATTATCCCAAATAGAAGGGCTACTTTATTTCTCTAAAAACAAAATTTTTGTCTATTATCGAAAGGCTAATACTACTCCAAAGTGAGTGAAAGTCTTTCTTTACAACTTATGATGCAATGGACGTATTATCTGATATTGCTTTTAGTGCACAAATATTCTCTACTGATTTGATTTTATCAAAATTATAAGAACGATTCGATAATTTCCGAATTTTCGCTCATTATCAAAATAGGTCTTCAGCAATTCCGATCGGAAACAGCAGCACGCATACGTTAGTTTCATCTTCAGCAGAGCGATTTTATAAAAACCCGAGTCCTAATTCGAATTCATATCGAAGCGACATTCGCTTAAACTTGAATCGGTATTAAGTGAAGTGAGTTTCGAAGTGACATAGGGGTAGAATATCTGAGACACGTATAATCAATCAATATTGTTATGCGGTTTTATGCAAAGAAATGGAATCTATAGAATTTTTACAATAAGCGACGTGAATTTTTATTATATTCGAATAATTTTGCATTCACAATGCTATACTGAAAAATATTCTTAATGAAGAATGCTTAAAAAATCCACTTTGTCCCTGGCACTCTGAGATAGGACTCGAACCCATGACTTTTCGCAATCCGAGCGACTGCTTTAACCATTGATTTACGCAGGACCTAACAGGAATGACGAATTTTTCAAGCCCTTGCTACTTTTTCGCAACTACAGAGCCGACCCAAACAGCCGAAAGAAATATTTAAACTTTAGATAAAATTCGCATACGTTCGCTTACGTTTGCGTGCTTGCGAGCGTGTTTACGTGCGTGCGAGCATGCGTGCGTGCACGAAGTGTGTGTGTGTGTGTGCCTTAAAGTACTGACCTTTCTGTTTCTCGTATCCGAAAAACTTGTTATTATTATTATATTTGATCAATTTTTTAGACACACGAGTAAATTCGGGTTCGGATAATTACGGGACCGCAGGGCTGTTTGAAAAAAAAAGAAACTGACGTTCGCATACGTTTGCGTGCTTGCGAGCGTGTTTACGTGCGTGCGAGCATGCGTGCGTGCACGAAGTGTGTGTGTGTGTGCCTTAAAGTACTGACCTTTCTGTTTCTCGTATCCGGCCTCGTTGAAGTACGGCTCCGCGTTGAGTATGAGCCCCTGCAGCGACACGATCACCTGCAGCAGGGAGCTGTCCTTGCCCCACACCTCCACGCCGCGCCCGGACCACGTGCCCAACAACGATACACACACCTGCACGCAAAACACAACACATATCTTGAAATCTATACTAATATTATAAAGTGGAAAACTTTGTTTGTTTGTAATGAATAGGCTCAAAAACTACTGGACCGTTTTTAAAAATTCTTTCACCATTCGAAAGCTACATTATCCACGAGTAACATAGGCTATATTTTAGTTTGGAAAAAAATAGGATACCGATAACATATTTTGGTTTTTCGGACAAAAAGTCTAAAAAATCAACCAGAAAAATCACTTATTTTGCGTACGCTGCCTAAACTATAAAAGATAGAACCATAAAATGTTATAATTTATTGTAGATCTTATAAATATCGACAAAAAAGTCTGCGACACACTATACCTATCTATGTCGAGTGAGACACAACAACTATTATTTTATTTAAAAATCTTGAATTTTTATTGGACTAAATTTAAACGCCTTTATATTGCTATTAATCCTTATCAAAATAAATTATTTCATCACTAAGTTTTATGTAGATAATATTTGGTCTTTAAATGATTAAAATTGGACGTTTGGTTTTGAAGTTATGGCGAAATTAAAATATTACGATTTCTGCAGCATGGCCCATTGCGAAGTGGGCGTTACCAAGGCGGGGGGTGCGCGTGCGGGAGGATAGTTTAGATCTATGAGTAAGGTACTAGCTGGCCACGCGGGCGAAGCCGCTAGCGAAAAGCTAGTAGAATATATAGTGATTCCTCCTGTGACGGATCACTTCAAACACCGGTGTTCTTACTTACTATATTGTTTTCGGTATTGTTTTCAGAGTGCCGTGACGTCATAACAAAGCCATGACAGGAAATTTAAAAAAATAATTATTTTTTATTTTAGCTTATTATATGAATGATATTATTTTTAGATATATTTCATGTATATCTATAAATTAAAAAGTTGTCTATACCTCTATTGAGTTGATCTTACTATAATGTTTAGGTACCTAAATATATGTAATGGGATCAATCAGACAGGCCTCGGTGTTTATTTCTCTTACTCAATAAGTTCATCTTTACCTACTGAAGCAAAGACATAATAGCATTCATCCTTTACGCCATTAGTAAACCGACGCAATCGCGCGCGAATGCGAAACTTTTGCGAAATCTTGTCATCTGTATGGCAATGTTTCGATGAAATAACTGCGACCTTGTCAGCAAGGTTTTGCAGTCAACTGTGAAAAAGGTCGTTACAATGGCGCACAATTTTCACATTCAGGGTTGCCCGTCCTGATTTTATGCTGCAAAATGGTAAATACAGTTTCCTATCATTTAGTTCTCAAAAGGTGACAACCCTGTTCCCATTCGCATGCGATTGCGTCGGTGTACCACGCACAAATGACTCGAACTATTTATACTGCCTTTGTTTGTTATATGTTCAAACCTACTCATGACTTTTTTATTTAAAAAATACAATTTAATTTAATTAATATTGGGTCATATTCATTGTTTATTTATATATTTAATGAAACACTTCGTCTATTTCAATTTTCAGGACAGCTCTTCTATCTATAGACTATAGACTTTATTAAACGAATATAATCAAATACTATTTTTAACTTTGTTTGCGTTTGACGTTTATTATTTGATTTGTATTATTATTGACAATATAATTATTAATTAAATTTGGTGATATTTTTTTATTGTGATTATTATTTATTAAAAAAACAATGTAACTATATACTTAATGTTAACAGTAAAAGTAAACGAGTTATGTGCATGTAATTTTCTATTGTATTATGTTGCTGTGCGTTGACAGAATTCATGTTATAGTGCTGTTGTAGAATATCTTGTATTACCAACATGATTGCAATATACAATTGAACTGAACACTCTGTATGTTTATTTCCTTGTTAATTACTGTAAATGTAAAGCAATAAATGTATAATAATTATGTAAAAGTAATAAGTGTATAATTATAATTACCTTCCCGTCCTCGTAAAGGTTGGGATTGAGCCTGTCGGTACAGTGCGAGTGGTAGTGGCATAGCGGTGGCGCGCGCGGGTATTCCCCGCCCAGTTGTACGTCGAACACGAACAGACCCCCCTCGTACGGGGTCTTAGTGGGGCCAGCTATCATCACCGACAGGAGGTCGATGCGATCCTCGAACGCACGAACCCACACCTGAACATATTAAAGTGTGCTTATTATACCTATGCTTATGCCTGACTCAGTTAAGGAATATTAGGTATGGGGAAACATTTCCATTCGTATATTGGTAAATATAGCGAATATAGAGAGCTATAGACATTATATTAATATACTTACTGTAACTTCTATCTATATTTTCCAAATTTGCAAATTTATACGAAAGATAGTAATTTGTATAAGCAATCCAAAGATGTATATCCCGAAACACACGGCTTAAGAAACCAAAACAAATAATTTTCTCCTTTTACAAATATCCCATTTAGTAAGTTTAGGACCATAGTATATGTCGATAAAAATATAAAAAAATACCAAAGTACACTTTAATGTATTATATTCTTTAGATTAGAGATAGAAATAAATGCACTATTTTTGAAACAGTTAAATGATAATTTAATAGACTGATGCTGCTATAATTTAAAGGAATTCTTGGATTAGAAATAATTTGACGTGGAATTGAATTAATAGTTGAATTAATAGACAAAACATAGTAATTTCCGAATGTTTTAACTAACATATTAAAAACTGAAATTTCCAAAGTTCGAAACTTAGATATCAATACAAATATGAAAGAGTACAAATAGAATATGAGTTGTTTATTGAGTTTTGAAAATTAATTTAACTATTATTATACATGAAAGAAAACCGAAAAGGTTGTCATGGTGAAATCAAGAAAGTACCTTAGCGGCATCTAATTTGATTTCGGGAACTAATGGTTTTTTAAATACCTCGAAAAATTTGTCTACAAAAAAACTAATTTTCGCTGTATACATTACAATTTTGTATGAAACAGCTGATTATTTTTTCGTGAATTCAGTGTTGCTCCCATAGTAAAAGTTGGTCAGATTACTTATCCATCTCACGAGCTGGTATATAATAATAATAATCATCATCATCAGCCCTTTTACGTCCCTACTGCAGGGGCTCAGGCCTTCCTTATGGGTGGTTAAGGAGGAGGGGCCATGACCCTCCACGCTGGCCCAATGCGGATTGGAGGGTAGGTAGCATATAATAATATTACACCTTATATATCTCTACCAAGTCAGTAAAGACGGCTTGCGCAAAATACCGGAATATTAGAATTGTCTAAAATTTCCCACATCACACAAAATTATAACTATTTAATCTCCACTATTTAATCTGTATTTGAACTCACCTAAAACAGAACTACCACCACCGTCCAAATCCTCCTTTCAAATTACTTTCTTTCATTAATTAAACCGGTAATAATAACGAAGGTGACTCACCCCTGGAGGAAGATCGCTCTTAAGCAACTTGATCTCTCTTTTAACGGCCGAGTAGAATGTTCTCGGCTCGGACGGCTGCAGCATGGACAAGTGGAAGCGATGAGCGACAGGGGCGGACTCGAGCACGCAGAACCCTTCACCGCCGCCGACGTCCTCGCCGGGGCCCACTGGATCCGCCTCCGGTTCCACTTCGGAGCCTTCGGCGGTGGCCAACGGAGCCGTCTCTGTAGCGGGAACTGAAAGCAAAAATTTAATAATAATAGAGACAATTTTGAATTGAACTCTAAATATAAATTACAATAGGCAAGTCTAATCAAATATGACGTATAACTGCAATTTTCTTTCGTAAACTAGCAGCACTGTCACAACAATAAACAGACAGATAACTGAGCAAAAATTAAAGTAATGGTGAGCCCAGAAGGAATTTAATTGATTAACAGTGAGATTTTGTTCAATAATACATCATTGCTGCATATTTCGATATGAGAAGGAAGGGAATCATGTATTTCCTAAAGACAATATATAAGAAAAAAAAATCTGGCTTATTACTACGCTAGTGCTGCCATCTACGCCGAGCTTTGCGTCCATATTAGATCAAACGACATTATGATCACTTTATTACTAAAATGAAACTTTCAATTTTTCTACTTGAACTTAGATCTCAATGCAATAGGCTTAAAGTTCATAATCAACCGCGGAAATATGATTTATTTAAGTGACCTGACGTACTTACTTTTTGATAAGAAACAAGCATTTAAAAAAGTGACAATATTAAAGCATATAATTTTAGAGAGTTGCGTAAAGTCTCGATTCATCAGTGGAATCAAAGAGGAATTATCCCGCTTACCGTTGACATCTGAACTGGCGGAGGTAGCGGTATTGTTAATGATGTCCTTCACCTCGTCCAGGCTTTTGTCCCCTTTATCGTCTTGATCCGCCATGCTAACCACAAGCGCACCGTACTGACTGCAATATAATACACCAGGTATGAGATATACACACCATTCTTGTATGAAGTACTAATTGTTGTTTTTGTTTACGTATTTAGTTAGAGGCCCATCAAACAGCTAGAAAGTCGAATAAAAAACACTTATAATTACATAGATTTTACAGACAGAAGACTTTCTTTTGTACAAAGATTATGGTATCAATTCTTTTGCACGAATTAGACCTGCACTAGAGACCGCAGATGAGATGAAAGACCTCTAAAAGGTGGCGGTTAAAAATTGGATACGTACGGCCCAAAATAGAACAGATAGATGTGCATGCATACCTTGAGACCATGAAGACCTTGAGACTCGAGAAACGGGTCGAGAGATATAGAACATATAATTGCAATTTTCTCTCGCCAGCGTGATTGCGGCACTGGCATATGTAGTAAATTTTTTATAAACAACATTTTAATAGCAAACATAGTAGGAATTTGATAATATTTCAATTAATAATTAGAAAGAGTGTAATTGTATCCAATAATACATAATTACTGAATATTTGGATGTAAGGAGGAAGGGAATTATTCATTTCCCAAAGACAAAATAATCAAAGAGTTTATTTGTTTACTACTTGCTATATATGAAGAGTTTTGAGTAATATTCCCATGGGCACCCAACGAAAGTAACATTTGGATGCAGGCAGTACGTTTCTCGAGTTCGTCGTGATATGCGTGCAACTAATGTTATGTCAATTTGTAATTCAACACTCAGATCAATCTTTTTTAACATAAAGATAGATACTAAACAAACTGAAAATTACATTTTCATATGAATTAATTCAATGAAAGCAAATAACGCATTGGATAAAAAATTTATATTGCACTGGACGAATACTTCAATACAATTGCAATACAGGTATATACAATAAATATGGTTACCAGTAATCATGCACAAATGTAAATTCTAAAGGTAAGAAATTGCGATTATTATTATTCTTTATACGTTTATTCCATAATTCAACCGTTTTAAGGTCAGCCGACAATAGGCTCTCAAACTGTGATCAGACAAAACTAGGAATAACACGAGTTTGAGGTATATGAACGCTTAAATATATTGTATAATTAAACGACGTGTTTGGATATTTTTTTTCCTGTTCAAGTTTTAAATCAATCGCAATTTCTTCAAATAAGAGATGCTTGATCGAAGTTTGGTTCATCGACCGCACTTTGTATAAAAAAGGTTAGATTAGGATTTCAGTAAAAAGTAGATTAATAACCGAGAGTCTTCTGTTTCGGCTCTTGGGGAGGGTATGTAGGATTTCGAGTTATGAAAGGGTAAAGTCCATCTTCTGAATATGCCCGTCGGTTTCTTCAAGAGAATAATCCCACATAAGCCATTACGTATGAGTAAAGAATTTCGCGTTAAAAAATATAATAAAAAGGTTACAACGTCATAGTATTTTTAAAACATTATGTATACAAAAAGATCAACAAAATAGGCCGTCGACAAACCAATACTTTCGTATATCAGGACACGCCCACTGTCATAAACAAATTTATCTATGGTCTAGGATCACAAGAGAGGGTTCACGCAAACTTACATTAAACAAATTCGAACTACTACATAAAATATTAACTCGACTACACGGATTTAGGTTTAAAATGTAATGGAACGGAACACTAGAGAAATTAGGATACCACTTTTGAGAGTCATCTACTTAAATAAAGTTAAAAATGAAACAAAACGGGAAAGAATACGATGAAACAAAAATGAAAAATAATATAAAACACACTGTGGGATGTCGATTTTTGCTGATGTGGCGATGGTTAATATAATCTGAAGCGTTGATGTTATTGATATTATTACAGTTATGGACAGGAAACGATTAGTTATGTTATACATATTTAATTTACACTTTTCTCACTTTTTGTGTGTACTTTATTTTAAATAATAGACAAGACATCACAACTGAAACGAGAACTATGTAATTTTATTGCTCTTTAAATATATTGTTACAACCACAGTGTAAAAGATGACTCCATAATTCAAACGATAACGAATAACACATTACAACAAAACAGATTCTTTTTTTAATGTAATTTGTTTAATATAAGTATTTGCGATAATTTTCGCTCATAGCACATTAACTTATATTAGTCATATAGGGTTTTAACACCAAACTTAAGTAGACTTTAACTAAATATTTATATATAAGAAGAAGATGAAGAAGCTAATATACAGCACTAACGTAATAAGCCCGAGAGTTGCGGCTTAGTATCAAATTACATAAGGATTGAAAATTGAGAGTATTGTGGTCTCAAACACATTACGAAGAGAGGGTATGATGCAAAATTAATATTAAAAATAAATTAAAGAATTTCAAACATACGACTTTCGAATTTAATATTTTCAGGGAGTAATGTTAGGTTAGAATCATTGTTTCGTTGACTTAGAAGCTATTATGTCTTTGCACGGAGCTATTAAAAAAATGCTTTGATAAATACCTTTAATGAAAAATGCTTAAAAATCCACCAGCTCTAGGTACCCAGAGATGGGACTCGAACTCTTCTAGTGACGTCACATTTCAATATACTAAACATCAACGTCTTTGTTGCAAGTGCAACCAGTACATTTCGCATTCCGGACGTCGACTTATTAAAGATATTTATCAGTATAGCATTGTGAATGCAAAATTGATAAAATATTTTCTTTGGTAATTTGAATTCATTAAACTGGAATTAAATTTTTATAGTAATTATTTAGCCTGTATTAATGAGTGGATGAATGAAATTCCGAAGAAAAAAAAATCAGGTTTGTAGGAGGAAGAAAGCAAATTAAAACACAAGCTCACACTGAAAAGTGGTAGGGTAACTTCTCTTCCGTCGCGTTTTGCTTTCTCATTAAGCTGTTTAGGAATTCGGCCAACTCTTGCGGCCTTCTCCTGCGGGCATACAAACGTATAACGTTTAATATGTACGTAGAGTTAGTTAAAGATTCCTACTACAGTAAGATACAATTGACAAACATACGGTATGTCAGTTTACTACAATATGTCAAATTTCCGCAATTGATTTTTTACACTACTCTTAATAAATTAAGATTTAAAATCAAGTGGAGAATTTTGTCAATTTTGTATAATCTGACGTGCTTTTGCCTGTACCTGCGCTCCGATGTTATTTTACAATATAAAACATTGATGTTTTTGTATCGATGTTACTGTTTTGTATCATCGACATCCTTTTAGCTAGACTGTTGTCGCATCAACTTTGACAAATATGATTGCGCTTGAGTGATTGAATTAACCGCATTTTTTTGCAATTTTGAATAATTTTTCTCCTAACGAAAACGAAATAATATTAAACAATATTTACGCAGACATTATTCATCATAAAATATAATAAATCGTTTTTTAAATCAGTTGCATATTCCCTAATATTTTGCAACTTGCTAGAAATATTTTAAATTCACACATTCGTTCTTAATATGCCATAGTTCAATCTTCATCTCTTTCCATCGCACAGTAGAATGTCAGGACTAGAAAACGTGCCTTGTACGATGCTACGTAAGCAGTAATCTTAAATTATTTTTCTTGTTCTTTCAAATCATAGCAAAATTTGAACGTCAACAGAACCTGATATGCCGACTGTACAATGCGACAGAAACAAAGATTATTTAAATATAGCATCTATCTAATACTTCGGTCTCTGAATTGAGAGTTTAAAGTAAAGATCGTCTCAAACTTTACTTAAACAGGTTTGCGTTTCTGATTTTAGTTTCTATAGCAGTTTCATAAAACAAGGACTTTTTGACTTACGAGACGTAAACTTAAATTCAGAAACCGACTGTAAGAAATCATAGTGGCCATTTTTTAATATCTACGTCTGAAAATTTCCACCCGTTTAATAATGTTCGACTTAAAAATTAAATTACGTTTATTATTGTAGGGTAGTTATAGATTTAGCTTACCGGCTGACTTCGGCGTGCGCCTTGACAAGTTGCGAGTGAATCAGGGAGCAGAGTTTGTAGCAAACGTTGCGAGTTGTGCCGTCCACGTCGGACGTCTCTGTGGACGCTGCGAGTGTTTTGATTTTATATTATTTATTATAGGAAAGCCTATCACTAGAATAAAAAATGTATACTCCAACCGTGTAATGCCTATCTATGTTAAATTGGCTGTAAAAAGCCAAATGAAAAGAATAAAAGACAGACTACACTTAACAACAGTAAACTCATAATAGACAATAATTAAATTGTGTGTGGTTAAAGAGTTCATAAATTTTAAAGATGATCCTCCGTTGTATATATATATTTTTTAATAAAAAAGGTTTGTATTTTTAAAATCAATGAACAAAAAATATATTTTTTCTAATATTTGTAGTCTGTGTTTCACGTCAAAAGAATCACTAAATCAGAGAGCATTTGTGTAATAAAACCATTAGCGGGAATGATACATGTAAAAAATATTAATGATGTTATGTCATAAGGGTGATTTTTGTGTTTGTGTGTGTGAATATAATAACAGCATACGAGACTATATTTTAATCACAAAGAAAAAACCTTTCTTTTTACCCTACAAATGACGGCACGAACTCGAAGTCACCGTTTACGCGGTTTTTTAAAAATCTTAAGTAATATTTTTCGTGAGAATAGGCATCTATATTAAATATTGATTATTTAAAACAGTTTTCGTAAAACAGTTGATGTTATCAGATCCCCTTTTAACAACTACGTTAGTAAAAGTTTTCTTTATTTTTGAGTTACTCAAAGATTTCGTAGTATGATGTTTTCGTCAAATATTTTCAATGTAATAATTGTGTAGCTCGGTGAATTTTATTAACTCACGATTTTCGCCGAGCTGCACGTTATCTTGACTGACGTTCGATTCTGAACCAGATGCTTGCACGGGCTCTATATTGAGATGCAACTGCTTCTTGGGAGTGCTTCCTTCGACCTAAACGTAAACATAAGTAAACTTTAATAGAATCAAGTGTTACTTCGTCAAGTCAGTTATATTTCAAGAGTTTCTAACGAGGTGAATGGGGGGTGGGGGGAAAGTGTTTGCCTTAATGAAAGAAAAAAAAAGTTTACTAAAAAAATATTAATGTTTACATTATCTTTCACATTCACTGATTATGTTTTCGCTAAAGTTTAATTTAATGAAAATAATTTCTTGTAATTTTTTTACTAAAAAATATGAGCATGGAAACATTATTTATAGTCCAGGGAGCCTCAACTTTCAATTTACTGACCCAGTAGTTAGGGAGGACATCAGCTGTGATCCTGTAAGGGTTCCGTTTTCCTTTTTTGGGATGAATCTTGAAAAAGATACCAATATATTGAGAACCTACTTCCTTTGGGTCTATTAAAAATAGATGAATATTGTTAGATACAACACTCAATGTTTTATGTGATCAGAACACCGTAACGTTAACGGAGGGGTAGCTGGATGTTTTTTGAGATAAGTAAAATTAAAATGAATAAATACTATAAAATACATAAATTTATACAGCTAATTATCAATATCGGTATCATAAATATTTTCACCCGTCTCTAATAACATTCAGCAGACCTATTCTGCTAATTCTGCTGTAATATACTATCTACCTGAAGTCCAATATTATTAATGAGGAAGACCTCACATATTAACTGTGACAAATGTATAATAATATTGACCATCAGGTAGATAAGAGTAGAATGGCAAAATGTAAGTACTAATCCCTATTCTGCAAATTTTTACGTAATAGTCGCATCTCGATAGAAGCTCAACTATCGAGATGCGACTATTACGTAAAAATTTGCAGAATAGGGATGACAACAAATTTCGTTTGTCCATCTTATTTTTTTTTTATGCGTAATTAATAAATTACGGCGATATACTGGCTATATACCACCCACCTTAATGCCATTATCTAAGCAATTACTTGTTAAATGTAAGCTGACCTTACTGACGGACTAAATAGAATTTCTTTTGCTACAGCAGCTACTATATTGCACACCTAAGATAACGGGCCATAGTGATCTACCTCCATAGGTTCTACGGTGACGTTAGAGGTGATGATCGCCTGTCCCGGGGCGTGTTCCTCGTCCACCAGCATGTTGTCTAGCGGCGGTTCCGGCGGAGTCTCGTTGGGCGCGAACAAGCGAGCGAGCTGCTCGTGAACACGCCTCTCGCCCGCTCGCGGCGTGCTCGCGCCACGTTCGCGAACACGCTCCAATAAACCCTGCATAAATCGTGATATCACTCTTCTAACCCTCTTCCAGATTTGATCCCTCCCCATACAACTGATTTTGTAGCTAAGTCATTTTACATCAGAGCTACTAAGAGGTGGAACTCTATGCCTGTGAATATCAGACGCGCGAACACGGGATTCTTTTATTAAACTAGTCAAGGAACATTACCTCAAACTGGACTCATCTTTCTGAAATAGCACCTTCTCGGTCAGTTACTCAATCTAATATTGTTTTATTTCTTATGTTAATAGGTATGTAGTAGTATATATATTTACTTTTATAAATGTTCTTTTTTTCTTTTTTTGCGTGCAGTTTCTTTACTGATTTGGTATAGTTTATCTTAGCCAAGGGTACCCTGGTCGATGGCTACCCTAGCAATAAGACCGCTTTTCGCATGTTACTTGTGACATGTGTTTGTATGTCAATGTTTACGGTGTGCAATAAAGTATACATTCATTAATATACATTGACTTTTTTGAAAAGCAACTTTATAAATATTTGGATCATACTTGACAGTTATAATAACAAATTATGAAATATGTTGGAAATAGTAACACAGTTACAACAATTATTGTAAAAACTACGCACCCGTAGCATGAAGAACTCGAGAAATACATAAGAGTACTAGGCACTTGCGTAATATAACAGATCACAAGTGTGTCAAGAGATAAAAACAATATTTATTAGGAATTAAACTAATTTACTTAGGTAATTCTTAAGATAAGCGTTCCCTAGTTAAGCTATGTCTTGTTCTAAGTTAGTGAAAACGGGTGTTTGAGTTCGTGATGTTACGTGTGCAGGTTAGATCATTCACGGATTACGGCCTTCTATAGAGGTCCCCGGGTTCGATTGCCGGTCGGGTCAATGTAGACAATGAACTTTTATGTATTGTCTCAGGTATGCGTGTTGTGGTAACTTTGTTGTTTCTGAAAAATATGCAACATTGGTAACAGTATCGACTTACCAAAAAGTGATCCTCATGGAAGAAGGAAGTACCCATCAAGCGGTCCAAAAATCTGCAATCCTTATACAGTTGAAGTAATTTACGCATTATCTGAAACAATACAGAACTGGAATAAAAATATTATATTGCTTAATTTTTATTGCATATAGTATAGACATGTGAAATATTAAATATAATGACTTTTTGTTATAAATCTTGGTCCATTGGTGAAACGATTGGCCATTGGATATATAAATACCAAACTAATATTGGGGCTTACAGTCAGAGGTAGAGTTAACAATCGATTTAAACATACATAGGGTTACCACCGGCTTAAGGTCTCTGGACATTCTGGATATTTTAGGACATGTTTGCCTTCTTAGGTCATACCCGGCTAAATATTTAGATGTCTGGCCTGTACGGTTTTTGTTTAAATGACAAAAGATGACAATAACAATCCTGATTGATGATTGAACTGGTTAATGTGTGATTAAAAAACAAATATATTTTTATAGTTATCAAATTAAAAACGTCCGTCCAGCTTTACGAAATTGATATTTGTAGGTGTAAAGTACGGCTTTAAGGAAAAATATCCGGCCTAATACATCACGGTATTTTTTATTTTAGAACTGATTTTACTATAGGTACACAGAAAAACTCTATATTTAGGTATTGCATAATAGCTTAAGTGGGTGATCCATGTAGGGGCGTCGCCAGTAGACGGCCCAGGAGGGGGATGGAGGGCAAGTTGATTGCGGAGAATGAGCTAAGTATGAATTGTAGCTAAAGTCAAGAGCACATGAAGCGTTTTACTTATAATACGAGCTTTACATCTACGGCAATTGTAATCACAACAGTACAGAGTCCAACTTGTAAAGTTACTTGACTGTAGAATAAGTAAAATTTCCTTCTCCCGCTGTAACGAAGTTCATTCGAGTTTCTACGTACTGGAATTATTGATTAATCAAGTGAAGTCAAAGACTTAAGACTTTGGTTGCTTCACTTAAGGCAACATTTTTAGAATCTCTTGTCAACGCCCGAGGGTCCATATTAAATAAAAATTTGTCAAATGGCCCTTTAATGACTGAAAGGTTAAGTTCGACTGTTTTAGAATATGGCAACCTTAAACTTACAATAATGATAATTAGACTCCTTTATCGGTGGTTTAATACGAGTGTAGACAGTAAATGAAAATAAATATAAGCATACTGGAATCTGATGTGAAATCATGAAACTTTCTTTTTTAATTTATTTTTAGATTCTTATATGCTACTTTTGTTATATATCGTGTATATCTATAAAATAAACTTATAAAAAAACTCGTCTACCACCCAATTTGGTAGCTGGACGTTTTTAGAGATGTGTTAAAATAAAATAAACTTATCAAAAATATCAATGCCATAGATATTTTTACCATTCTCTTAAAAATCGTCCAGCTACCAAATCACAGAGAATAGTCACCTCCTGACTCTGCAGCGTAGGATGTTTAGCGAACATCTCCTCGAGACGTCTCATCGCGATGCGGCCGCGTTCAATATGAGCGGCCACACGAGGCTCCAGCAGACGCGGCACGCCCCCCTCCACCGGCCCCGCCCCCGCCCCCACCCCCGCGCCCGTCTCGTGCGCTGGCTGGTTCACGAACACTAGGAACGAACCGTCTACAACTTTATTCTAGAGTGCCGTTTATTAAGACACTGTCCCTGTGTTATTAGGATTTTTTTGTTGTATGTACATTCAGTTGCACAAACGTCCATTAAGGTTTAATGACGACTTTGGACACTAATGAATTTTCTAAAATCAGAATATTTGTGTCGCTAATGTCGCCTCCGCGAATTAGCTAATGGCAATTTTAATGGTATGAGTACGCGTTCGTTGTTGTTAAGCAACCTTCGCCAGGGATGGGTTACCATAAAATTATTATCTCGAGCAAATCCGTACTTCGGAAGGCACGTTATGTTAAGGGTCATGGCGCATTCATGTAGTTTCCGCAGATGTTGCTCATACGCAAACGATTGCGTCAGTTTACTAACGGCGTAACAGGCTGGTGATGATAATTAGTGTAGATACTGACCGGTGGGTGGCGCTGTGAGCGCGGCGGGCGGGGTGTGCGGAGTGTGCGGGGTGTGCGGGGCGGGGTGGTCGGGCGTGCGCGGGGTCGCATCGTGCGCGGAGCTCTGCGTCTCCCACGAGTCCTCCGAACCGGACCCCTCTGAGCCCCACAGTTCACCCTCCTCCGAGTCGTATTCGCCCACCTGACAATATGCATCACTAATTTATTGCGGCAATATATAAAAAACTGGCTATTGTCTTACCACTTTACAAGCCTATGTCGACCCCGTATGGGGCTGTTATTAGTTTTTATACCCCTCCCCTACATGGTGAGGTTTAAGACTAACCCCTCCTCCCTCCAGCCAAATCACGTGTATTTTTAGTAACTATTACTTTTGGGCTTAGTAATCTCACGTTTGAGTAAAATATATTACTATACTCCCCCCTTATTGGACAGCCCCAATGACCTACCCGTAGGCGAAAGAATTTTAAAAACCGGTCCAGTAGTTCCAGAGCCTATTCGATGCAAATAATATTAGTGATAATATTTATTTTATTTATAATATTAGTTTAGATAAATAAAACAAATTTAAGAATACCATAAATGTTATGATATGTGAACTTTAAAATTTCGATCAGAAAGATAGACAGCAATATTTAAATTGAGATCTAAATATCTAGTCTATAAGTGTCGCCCGATTGACATGGACTGAAAGCAAATATACTTATAAAATAATATATTCTTTATTACATGCTACATAGGACATATTACAAAAAAGCTAAAAACGAAAATAGACAAGAGGCGACCTCATTTCTATGTAGTAATCTTTTCCTGGTTACCCAGGACGAAAGTACATGAAGAAACCATGAATAAACTAAATAAAGTGTGAAGTTCACAAAAACAAAACCATTAAAAATATTATAAAATTTTGTACTATATTCTTACCTTATAGAGATCCTGTGGCCAGCACATGCTTGTATGTCCATCTACCCACCATACCTTTACTCGACCAGTCGGGAAATTATCTATTACCTGTCATAACGAGTAATAGATTAGTAGTATACTGGTAAAAGTTAAACTTTTTATATATAATCACGACAAACACTAATATTAGGTTGAAAGAAAAGCCTTTTCGCATATAGTATGCATAAACTTGTAATAAAATATTTCTGGCTATGCCGTTTGTATCTGGCTGGTTTCGATACCATTAAAAAGTTAAAATTTTAAAGAATATAAACTCTGAATTCAAATTATAGTTTTTCATACTGTCAAATTAAATGAACCTGATGAAGAAATTTTATTACAGAAAAGGTAAAAATGCAACGCAAGCAGCGACCTAGTACAGTTTCTGTGAGAGTAACACAAATTTGGTTTAAGAGTTTTAAGTCCGGAAATTTGATGCACGTCGCTCCGGTCGTCTTGTTAAGGATTAAATGGATGCCAATTTTGAAAAGGTGGAACAAAATCGAGTAACGACGTAGCTGAAGAATTAGGGATTGACCACAAAAGTTTTGGCGCATTTGAAAAAAGCTGGGGACACAAAAAAGATGGATATTTGGGTACCTCACGAGCTCACTGAAAAATCCTGTCAACCAACCGAGCCATTTGGGAAGAAGCTGATAACTGGTGATGCAAAGTGGATCACGTATGACATGAACGTGCGGCAAATCGTTGTCAATGGCCGGTCAGGATTCACAGACAGTATGGTGGGATTGGAAGGGTAATATTAATTATGAGCTGTTACTGCCAGGCAGGACCATTGATTCTGAACTCTTCTGCGAACAACTGATGAGATTAAAGCCAGAAGTTGAGTGAAAGCAGAAATTAGTCATAAGTTAAATCTGTTGCCATTCAGCATCAATTAAGAGTTTGGCTGGGCCTTCAGATTTCCACCTGTTTCGGTCTCTTAAGAATTCTTTAGACAGTGCCAGGTTAAAATCACGCAAGGACTGCCAAAACCACTTTTCGCGGTTTTTTGATAAGAATACCTAATATTTATATATCAATGGGATCATGCCATCTACAAGATGGCAAAAAGTTATCGAACAAAATCGTACCTACCATTTAGTTAATAGGCATTAATAAAATAGGCTGAATTACAAATATTTTGAATTTTCATATAAAATGCGAAGAAACTTTTCCTTAACCTATTATAACATAACAATAAAAGATCATTGAAGTTAGTATTCTGTAAGTAGCGTTAAAACTTAATAATCGTTTCTTAAAAAACAAGAACACATGTCCACACTCTACAAATAATGGACTGTACTAAACCTAGTCTACATGCCCGCGAGTAAAATTGGTTAGTGCTTGGCAGGACATGTTGTTCTTCAAACGGTAGTAATAAAACAAATCAACTCGCTACTGTACGTATCGGAAGTTGTAAATCGAACTTTAGATCACACATACCTGTCCAGCGGTACAGTTGGCGTCTTCGCCTGTGAAATTAGCGACACGTATGACGACCGTACCGGGACGATATTGGAAGTCCGGATGGTCCTTTAAATCGTAAACGCTCATCTCGCTCTCATGTAACATTTGAGGCCTGTGTGATTAACAAAAAATTGCTAATGAGTTGTTCAATTTTTTATTCTGTGTTTTACAAATGATCCTGTATGTGTAACCCTGATTTCGAGACAGATTTAGTGGAAGCTTTACGCTATTTTATTAATAATAAGGAATATGTACACCTTAAAATCGTTATATAATAATAAACAAATACCCGGCACCGAAAAACTGAAATTTAGTAAACAAAACTTAATTATGAAATTATGAGTAACAACTACGAGTACTTTAATGTCGGAAATTTTGGCGCGTTTGTCGTGACGTCAAAGTACGTGATTAGACATATGACATTTTAAATCAATATGGATTTTGAGTAATTGATACGAGTATTAGGCTATTCTACTCTGTTTGAAAAAATATTTGTAATATTATTTTAATAAAAGCCTTATAATAAATATTTCGGAAAAATAAACACTTTTTCTCGTCTTAAAATTAATAAAAAATTTGAACTTTTTTTATACCCGCCAAAATGCTCTGTCATATTCATGACGTCATTGTGATAAGTACACAAAATAGATGCATAGATTAATTTTTTTCATACAATCGACTTTTTTGATAAGCATACATATAGTTTACCAATTGGTGAAATATAAATAAAGGCCTAAAACATAATCTAAATTTATCTGTTGTTTATTTTAGTATATAATACTTGATGTTATTGTATTGATGTCAACTGTTTGTTATAACGACATAGGTGTACGTTTCGTCACATCCGCTTTGATAAATAGCGTTGCGTTTGAGAATTTTAAATTTATCGCATTTTTTTATGCACTTTTTAATGATCATTTACAAGATCAAAACGCATATTGACCTTTATTAACAGAATAATGATCTTGTTAAAATATATTTAATCATTTTTTAATCAGACGCATATTCCCTATTTATAAGGTGCAAAGTCGTACAGAAAAATTAATTTGAAAAGGAATATAAATTTTTTTCGTCATATGTTAATACATATTATATATTATTTACTACTCACACGGGCTCATCGGCGCTGGTATAGGTGCGGTACCAGTGTACTATAGCGGTCCGTCCGTGATGGTCTACACGCTGTACTACGCCGTATTCCCTATGCTTCAACTGAAAAAAAAAACAAACAATTAATCAAAAAAATAATATACGAAGAGACGAATCTATAGTTTGGAATATCTAATTACAGTTGGGTCATTATATGAAGTCACATTTGACATCTATCAATCTCAAATTGACAATGAGTAGTCCTGCTTAAAATTTTCGATTAATATAACTAATCGATATGGTTTTCAAACAAATGTGAATCGAATGCAGTTATTATGCAAAACAATACCGAGATTGATTTTATAAAGACCAGCAACATTTAATATTAATTGTCTCATTTCGATACTGTAACAAGAAAACAGAAAAAAAAAAACAAATATTCTTAGTCATTTTGTTCAACTACATAAGAAATTAGTTAACATAATGCAATAAACTAAAAACGGGTATAAAGTTTTTGCCGACGGCGAATAAATAGAAACAGAGGATGTCAAATTGTAAATAAAAAAGTTAAGTTAATTACTCGCAAACTGCATATTACGATTAATTCCATAGCCTACAAAGTGACATACGAATTTACCAATTTCCCCTATAAAAATGGTATCATTACAACAAGAAATGGAAAAAATAAGAATTTTTGGTGTAGAGCAGAAGACCCGGTTTTTGCTATTGCTTTATTTTGGCGATTTGGCACTTTTACTAACGCACTTTTGCGTGAACACATTTTAAAATGTTGGATCATGGCAAAACTAATGCCATTTATAGCAGCAATGTGTCTAAGTTTACTTATTCTTAACTCTTCCAAATCCGGCTAATCACGTTTTGGATGTGATAAAATCCAGCTATTTTGGACGTTATTTCTTGGTACAAAACAGTTGAAAGTTAGCGACTTTAGATAAAGTGTAATCAAGGACTTTGAATACCAAGTCAAATATGCCTATAATATTGGATATGAGATTTTTAACAAGTCTGGTATTGCCTTATCCAATATTTGATAAGGACTAAAGAATGATACAAGATGAGCGACTAAAATTTATAATATCGTTTTTTTCCCATGTTTCGAAAGCCACGGTAATTCGCGGCACAGCTGTATTTATTCATTTTCAATATATATTTTTATCTGATTTATTTTGTTTCATCGTGATATATTCTTTAAGGTCTAAATATTTTGCAAGTAATTTATTTATAATTTCAACGTCATTTAAATAATATTTTGTGATTACATTCCCAATGTGGTTATTCGTTCATGCTTTCATAAGTAATTATAAAGTCAACATTCAGGTAGACCAAGCAATGCTTTCGATTTGTTTTATACATCCCTAGTGTTTAAAAAGACAACGAATAAACAGACTTGACTTTATAGCGGCGTTTAGTGTGATTAGAACGTAATTGATATTTTACATTCAAATAGGTTTATTACTCAAAAACAAACGAAAATTTGTCTTATTTGTCTATTATGACAAAAATATATTTAAAAAATTTGAAGAAATTTCCAATTATAAAGTTATGCAACCTGAAAAAGGAAAAATTTGTAACCTTATTACAAGATGTAAAATGTGGCCTATTATAATGCCCAACTATATATAGTAATTTAACTGGGATAATAAAATATAAAAAAAGAGTTTACTGTTATGTAACTTTTTTGAAAGTAAGCTTATACAAGTATATATATGACCAACCTGCTGGTTCTCTTCAACATTTGCTGCACCGCTGACCACGAAATCGCCCGGAAAACATTCCTGGCCGTCCAAATGGTGTATAGGGTATAGTTGAGTAGATGGTATGCCCATTTCTATGGTGCCGTCCTGCATAAATGTTATAAAACTATATAAAAAAAACTGCAACAAACATCATTAAACAATTTCAGGTGAGTTAAGGTTAGAAAAAACAGGCCTAGTGAAAATAAATGAACCTTTTCGGTAACTATGTAGATACCGTAACACTGATCTGGGTCTGGACAACATACGGCCGGTTTCTGAATTGAGAATAGTACAAAATCTTAACTGATTATTCTCAATAACTTAACTTTTCACAAGATCAAAAAGTCTTAGTTTGATGAAACTGTTATCAACTGATCATTAAAAAAACTAAACTCAGAAAAGAAAATATGTTTACAAGTTTCAATGAAACATCGTAATTTACTCAGATTCTATTTGATCCAGTAAATCTAGTGTTGATTATAATTATAATATTTTTATTTTCCGTCTAAAATACAAACAGTAAATTTTAAGTAGTACACAGATTTTCTCAAGCCTAACTTCACGGGAAAAAACTGAAAAAATGTTACTAATCTCCAAGATATGATTAAGATTTTTTGAATTTGTGTCACGCGATTTAAAATGCGATGCGATACACTCTGGCGACAGCTGTCAGAATAGTCGTAAAAACGCCTATTTTTTATACATCATTTTCCTAGAGGACGTTGTTCGTATTTTTTTTTCGCAATCAACTGTTAGATGGCACTGTTATTATTTTATTGACACGTTGTAATCTACTACTCGGTGCATCTGTTTTGTGTACATATCCGAATGACGTAATGAATATATCAGACAAATAAGTTAAAATTTCGATTTAATTTTAAGGCAAGAAAATGCGTTTATATTATCGAATCATTTGTTTTATGACTTATTTAAATTAAAATAAACACTTACAAGTACCACGCTGACCCAACGCGGATTGAAGAGTATTAACGACTGCAAAAGCAACCAGGACCAACGGCTTAACGTGCCTTCCGAAGCACGGAGTAGCTCGAGATAATATTTTTTTGGTCACACATCCCGTGACCGACTATTGCGAAAGTTGCTTAACGACAACGATCGTGGGCCGCTTGTCCACTACGCCAAGGTAGTAGATTTGCTTATTCTCCATATAGTATGAATTTAAACTAATATTAAAATTTACGTAGGTAGTAGATTTTCTTATTATCTGTATAATATGAATTTGAATTAATATTGAAATTGCAATTTCAGCGTAAATTTACTCTGACGCTAAACCTTCTTTATGAATAGCACTGTATGTGATTATTATTAGGATTACCTGCCAGACGACGTTCTAAACCTTGTTTATAAATAGCACTGTATGTGATTATTATTAGGATTACCTGCCAGACGACGTTCTAAACCTTGTTTATGAATAGCACTGTATGTGATTATTATTGTATACCTGCCAGACGACGTTGGCCCGCGAGGCGGTGTGCAGCGTCTCGACGACGACGCGGTCGCCGGGGCGCGGCGGGGGCGCGGGCGGGGCGCGGCGCGCGGTGCGCTTGAGCCGCTTGCCGCGCAACAACCGCACCGCCAGCTGCGGCGACCGCTTGCCGCGCTGCGACCCGGCCGACGAGCAACGTGACGACCATGTCGCACCACTACGCGTACATGGCGTAAACGCCATCAGTATAATATCGCGACGTCAATCGTTGTTTGCGGTCACGTGACAACGAGTATACATTTTTTTTTCATGTGTATGCAAATACAGCCCTGATTGAATATGGCAACCCTAATCACATTTATTTCAGTGTTTAACCTTTATAAATAGGACGCATCCCAAGCGGTCCGCAGAGCATAAAACGTATAAAAACAATATTTATCTAGACCTAGGTATTCAATTATATGGCTTCTTTTTCCGAGAAAAATAACCCCGATGGTCCGGGGCTGCCAGGGCAAATTAGCAAATGATCTTCGATGGCATTTTATCCATCGAAGATTAAAAAGAAAAAAAAATACTTGCATGTGTCCATACTTGCATCTAACTACATAGCCATTGAGATCAGGTCAGTCTGTATTAGTCAAATTGATTATAAACGATAATATTACCTATCAGTGTCGCTGCCGTCGCTGCTCGTATTCTCCCAGTTGTCAGAATCGTCATCGTTGAGGCCTATATCAGACTTGCTATCGCCGTTGAGCAGCGAGCCGTCCTCGCGATTAGGCTCCGGACTGTGAACAAAGCGACGTCTATCATACATGAGAATCGTTTACAAATTTAACGTAAAATAATCTCATATATGAAACACAAACGGTGTACTTAACGCACAAGACGTTCTCTATATCTCTAATAATAACTAAATTAAACGAAAGATTGCATTTACCATTCGAATCTTTCATTTGTAATTTCTCAATTTGATTAGACAGTTCCAATTAACGACATAATTTTTTTACTATCTTTCAAAATAATGTAGCGATAACAGGTTAAATAGTTGTAGTGTGAAGTTCGTGAATATCTTTCAAATGACAAATTGAAAGGATCGCGATAGATTTTAAAATTAGACAATTAGGCCCCTGGACATAGGCCACAAACAGTTATTGCAAATGTCTGCATGTCTTTAACCTTCCTATACCCGCGTATTGGTCTGTCAGACCGACAATTTAAGTTTGCGTCTTTTTCTAATTAACGGAAAATGTTAGCACATTAGGCTCACTGCTAGCTGCGTGAATCGTCGCCGGCGTCCGTTTAGTGTGGAAAAATCGCAAGACGAGATATAACTGCACTACTTGCAAGAAATATTTTTGTATGGAACATGCAATTATGCTGTGCTCTGACTGCTATGGTGGCCACCAGAAGAAAATTAATCTATAGCATTTTGTTGTTTATTTAGTTATTTTCAAGATTTAAGAGTTTGTTTGATTTCAGAAGATATATTTTTTGTTGCAATTTATGTTGTTTATAAGAATAAGTACTGTTTTTCAAGGGCTGTAATAAAAAGACTGTTAGTCAGTAATAAACATTAATATTGCCATAAATTTCGTTTATATTGATTGTGTAAATGTCCTTTTTAATTATAAATTACATTTTAGTCTGATTATAATGATAGCTATTTATTTAGTAAACGTTAGAACTATCGGTCCCGGAAACCGACGCGGGTATATGTGTTATTGTATTTGACGCGGGTATAGGAAGGTTAATAACAACAATATATTCCATTATACCTGATGCCAGAGTCGTTTTTCTCCTCAGTGGCAGTATCCTCTTGACTGCTGGCCATGGGTAGTGAAATATCACCGCTTGGCTCGATCTTGATGCTTGGGCAGTTCAAGTCAGCCTTCAATGCGTCATCCAACGACTCCAATTTGTCATCAGCGTGATCCACTTCCATGTCATTCTGTAGAACCAAAATATATTTAAATGGTGGAACTGGAATGCTATTACTAAGACTTCACTGTTTGTCTGTCTGTCCTCAGGCTGACTCATGAACCGTGAAAGTTACACCCATTTTCACTAACCTAGAAAAAGGCGTAAACTTAACTACGAAACGCCTAATATTACAGATCGCCGAAGCATATTAGTTTCATCTCAAATAAATATTTTGTTCTTTTATCCGTTGACATATTTATGACCTGTCTTATACGCAAATGCCTAGCGCAAGTCACCGCATAACGAATATTATAGTTTTAGACATCGCCTAATTTCGTTAGGTGGTTCCTAATCAATGCAATTTTACCCTAGGCGATTCCTAGATACTTAGAATTTGAGTGACTTCTAAGTTTAGTGAAAACGGGCATTAGACAGTTAAAATTTTCATAGATTATGTATTATTCCTGTTGCCATTTTAACAAAAAAACTAAAAAAGAAAATAAATATTGAAGCGGGCTCCTATACAACTAACGTGTGTTTTTTGCTTGTTTCTGGTACGTAATACTACTTTTATGTTAATATCTAAGTATTTAAGAATGAATTTATATCATAATTCTAACATAAAAATTCCTTGATTCCAACTTACTAAATTGGTTTTAACCTTTGACAAATTCGTTATGGCGGAAGAGTAAATGTATACGTCACTTTACGCAAATGCCAAGCGCTAGGCACCACACAATGCATGTCCTAACTTTAAGCATTGGCTAAAGTCGTTAGGTGGCTCCTTGTCATTGGTGAAACGCATTTTCATTTTAGACAATGTCCAAATATTAAGGTTAAGATTTGGGCGACTTCTAAGTGTAGTGAAAACGGACATTTGACTCACATCTGTGTTCTTTAACTTGCGATGTGCCGATGCGCGCTTCTTAGGCCTAGACGGCATATGGTCTGAAGAGTTGGTCTCCGATTTTGACGGCTTTTTAATTGGCCTAGTTTGCTTCCGCAGGTTCCTGTAGTATTTACCTGTCAAAAATAGATTACATATATATATGTGGGATATAGGCCCGGAACTTTTTCCAACCGGGGCAGAACCTCAATATTGCACCCTTACATTTCCCTCTTAATAACTTTGATTAGATGTCCGGGCTATCAAAGCTGAAATAATTGAATATCTAAGTATTATTGTTATATGTTTTCTCTTTATATATAAAAATAAATTCCTATTACCCTTGGTCACGCCATCACACGTGAGCGACTAGATCGATTTCGCTATTTTTTTTGTTTGTTATTGTTGGCTCTTTGAATTTATTTTAAAAGACATTTTCAGCCAGTAGCACCAACATCCATTAAAATTGTTTATACTTTAATGCCTCGTTACCTATACAAATTTTCAAATTTAGAATATTCAATAGAGATTTAAATCGCCATTAAACCTTAATGAACGTTTGTGCAACTGGTCGTTAGTGTAGCTAGTTTTTTTAAATGTATTATATTTTGGGTAAGTACTCCTAAATCAGGGTCTGCATTCTCACAACAAAATGACAAACTTATAGCATACAGTTCTTCATCTCAATCAATTTAATGTAGTTGTTTCTTTTATTTCTTCTATATATTAATCTAATAGATAAAAAGTTGTATAACAAAATATAGGTGATAGCAATTTAAGCTAATCGTATGACGTCACAACCTGTTATTACTATGTCTGGAGCTGGCGCCGCGTTGGCGTCGAGTGCTGCAGTTTAGAATATCACACATTAATTAACGACTATGTATGATATTCCATACAATTTATATGAGATTTATATTAACACTAGCTATTTTCTATTATTTCTATTATTATTATTATATGAACACTATCTATTTTATATGCTATTTCGCGACTTAGCACGTGTAAATTATAGCCTGTCAACCCTATATGATGTAGCTCCCATTTGTGATTTTTTTTTAACCTTATTTTATACAAAATAACAAACATACAATTAAAAATTTCCTCTTTGTAATATTAATATAGATAGAATTTAGAAGAACACGCGGTCTGTTACGAAAACATATATATTGTAATGTTTTCAAATTAAATGATTAGATCTGATCGAAAAGCAGCTATTTTATTTTACTCAAATCAAGATCTCTGGTTATTCCGATAGTTTAATACTTAGTAAATTAGGAATATCATTATGAACAGCTCAATCGAGATAAAATTAACGGTAGCTGGTCTTCATAGATAAATATTTATAGTAGTGACTACACAAACATATCTAGGGACAAATACTTGTTTAATCCTTACACCTATTTATACTTCCAAGAAACGAGGGGATAAACCTAAATGACGCACGCAATAACAAACGTTTCGATACCAGTTAGAATTGCATAAACCAGTGAATTTTGCCATTATTAAAATTTTTTGTTAGTGAAAATATGATGGGTTCTAGGCCGCCGTCTCTACTTAATAAATTTTCTTATGGGCGTATTCAATGATGGTGATAGGGGCACGCGGAAGTTCACTAGTCTTTCCACCCTGTAGTTATGCCACTGACCTGCGCTATGTACACTGATAGACAAAAAATTAGGCCATTCAATTTCTTTTCTCTCTTTTTTATTGTTCTTGCGTATTGCTGCTAAATGCATTAATTCTAAATAATAAAAATATTTTATTTAGATGGCTTATTTTAATTAACACCATTAAAATGAATGGTTTTAATTTTATACAATTCTATTGACCATTTCACACGGCAATGTGAATTGAGTCTTATGATAGTTTTTAATAAGAATCAATATGATTTTTAATATTGATCGTATGTATTTTTGAGTGAACAATAGATTATAGACAAGCACAAGCAATCTCTTAAAGAAAGTACTTACTAATGAGCAAATATATTAAGTTATTTTTAAAGCTTGGCCGAACTCTATAATACGAATTCTTAGACGTTCCAGTTTAGTTGATTTAGGAGAATCATATATACATAACTAATTAACTAACTTCAAAAAAGTAACAATTTCTCAAATCTATTGAACATGTATTTTTTTGTAGTCAAGTTTTCTGCCACTTTAATTATGGGCGATGGAGATAAAGAATTTTCAAAATCAATAAAAACGAACAAAAAAAAAACTAAAATATTTCCAGTTTTATAATATTAGTATTACATGTTTACTTTATTATGTTATTAGATACCCCTACAGATATTTAGATCTTTATGCAACAAGTCATAAGGAACGATACTAGAATTAAGTTTTTATTAAGTTAACCTAATACAAACTTCCCGCATTTTACTGCTTGCTTTTTATGTAACCCAAGGTTTTATGTAAGGTCAAGGTTATGCTGTCTGAATAGGTTATATAGGTAGTCTAAAAATAACAATATTTAATGATGAATAAAGCCACAGGAAACTTAAATTAAATTTATTGAATATAAGCCACTTATTTGAGCTTCAGATTGAGTTTCGAGCAAACGTATATATGATGAAATGAATATATGATGATATAATTCAGATGTAACATACGTACACACCAAATTCAATTTAAAGACGTTTAATATGATCATAAAAAAATCTGTTGAAGTTGGGTGGAGATTTTGTGTAGGTTGTTAGTGAATATGAACATTTCTATAAGCATGCACTCTAGAAACTATAAGCTCAGACTACGAATCGCGAAGAAATCGATGAAAAAAAGAACACATACTCCTCGAACGTAGAACCTCTTCCTTTTTGATTATGAAGTTGGTTAAAATAGGTTTTGTGCATGAAAGTGGATAGGAATGGAAAGAAAGGAAAACAGAAAACTAAATCGAGAGAGGTGAATGTGAAAATGACGATTTATTAAGAAGTAAGGGTAGTAAGAATAAAAAAAAATTTGACGATATCACATACATTGTTCTAGTTTCAAGATTACCTAAAGCCCTAGTATTATGGGGTATCTGAGACAACGAAGGTACCACAACACTCAGATTAGAGACAGTATAAGTAGGTGGAAATAAAAAGTATAAGGGCACTTACTCTGTTGTTTACGCCATTGCTTCTTGCTGATGAAAGTGTCTTCGGGACCGATGATCAAGAAGTTTCTGTCGCCAACTTGCAAAGTGCAAGGTTCGAACACGTTGAGCAATTTTAAATTTTTCAAGTCATCACCTGCAATGACACAATTCAAGTCAAATGGTCAGTTGCACAATTGTCCATTAAGGTTTAATAACGCCTTTAAGCTCTTATTAATGTTAAATTTGTATGGGTAATGTCGCTAATGAAAATTTTAAACGTTTGTGCAATTTCTAAGATTGCTGATCTAAAATTTAAATGCATTTGGATATTTGTAGCTTTCATTATGAGAGTAATACTTGTTTCTTCTCACGTCTTTGACTCAAGGCACTCAAAATCATAGGCTTATTCTAAGCAAGATCACTGTAAGCCTAATTACTTTTTTCAATATTATTGCAAATTTCCTTTGATTTGCGATGTTATATATACCAAACTAACTAATATATTAATAGAATTTCAGACAGGAATATCTAAATAAAAAGAGACTGCGTTGTTGGCTCTTAGTTTTTTATAGCTTTGTTTATTTATAACAAAGGTTTCTTTTTATTATTCTTTTTCTTTGTTTATATATTATGTACATATTTGTTCTGTATCTGATTATTTATTAGATGTGTAATTATAACTTTGTATAATGTTTGTTCCGCGTACCACATACTCTGCTAGAATACCAGCGTTAACACTCCTGTGTACCAACACCAGCTGAGGCAGAGCCCTGATTGATCTCTTATATGTGAAAATGTACTGTCTAATTATTTGCCATCCTCTACATATCTATTACGTGTTCCTGTAATGTACGTTATTGTTTATGAGATCAATAAATGTTTCTTCTTCTTCGTTTTATAAAAATCTTTTTAATTCTCATGGAATATAATGTCTGTTGTATAATATGTATTTAATAACACTATTTGAGTTAACTCTGGTGAATAAGATCACTAGGAAAGCTTATTAACCTTATAAAGATTGAAATAAGACTAACAGTTACCAGGCAAAAGTGTACTTCTACATAAGATCACTTACCCTCGACTAATAGTTTGGGCTGCTGCGGTGCAGCAGCATCCGTAGTGCACAGTGCGCGACACTGCCAATGCACACTTACACTCTCTGTCACTACTGCTTCCACAGTGAACTAACATAACAGTATTATTATTAATTTTGGAGTCACATTGTTATATTGTTATATATCTTATATGAAAAAACAATTAAAGTAAAATTCAAACATGCAACTGATGATTTAAATAAATAAGGCCCATTCTCATCTTAATATCAAACTGACTATATTAATAATATATAAATATAATTCGGCTGTAAGGAAAGATTACTAGGACTAGCAACAAAGTAATAAGAAATATTTCAATATATGTATTTTTTTTTCTTTTGGGTAGCTTAATTGACAGACGGTTGATCTTTTTAAATAAGAGAATTGATCAAATTGTATTTGACAAAAACATTTCATTTCAAGAAAGTTGTAACTGTGATATAGATTTATCTCTGATCCGAAGAAATTATGTTATAAAATTATTATACATGTCCATATTAAATTTACCCCTGATAGCCTAATTTCAATACTCTTGAATATAGGTTTTTCATTTTATAAACAAACAATTTTTTATATCTTATTTAAAAACGAATGCAGTAAATGATACCTTATGATCATGCATCTTGTGTTTCCTGGCCGCTTTCATTTCTTTAGTTACATGAATCCAGTTAGCATTGTCTAGGGAACCGAGCGGTCCATATACCACTTGACCTGGGTAGAACTCTGATGAGGAGTACGGTGTAGATCGACGACGGCGCATAGAGTAGTCTTCCAATGGACAGTTATCGAGGTCAGGATATTCAAGTTTCGATCCATCAGCCGATACCAGACGGAGTTTACTATGTACAGCCTGTAGGGAGTGTTGACATTATATTAAATTATTAAATAAAACTATAATCTATATAGAATCATAAAAAAGTTATAAGTTTGATTCTGACATTTCCCCAATAGCTATTTTATTACAATAATGATCTATTCCACCCATACATGACCATTTTATAGTTGTTATCTTTTTGTCTGACTAAAGCAATTTTAAAACTAATTTTATAAAAAAACTATAAGATTCATCAAAACTATAATAACAAGTACACACAGCAGCTTGTCAGGTCACAACAATATGTGATGTGAGTGAATGATATACATGCAATACATTAAAGCAGGTATGGGCAACTTTGGACATGTTGTGGGCCAAACTTTAGTGTGCAATTACGTTCGCAGGCTGCATTTAAAAGTAGTACATTTTAAAGTAGTGTTGTAGTGCGCATAATTCTTTGCGATAGATATCACCCATGAAATAATACGACAAAGTTATTATAAATAAGGTTTTTCAAAATGTCTTGCGGGCCAGATTCGGCCTGCGGGCCTGCTGTTGCCCAACGCGGCATTAAAGTAATGTTAAACATTAAAAATCATATGGAGAAATTTGACAGTTCAGTATAATTTAATGTACCTTGGACGTTCCAACCCAGGAATCGAGGCAGACTGCCAGATCAGGAGTGAACTCTTCTAATGGCTGTAGTCTTTCACTAGCTACATTGGGTATGACATGTTTAGTGCCCACAATCTGTAAAGCCGCTGTCATCACAATATCACGACAGTAACCACGTTGTGTGTCTTTGCCGGCGATCAGACGGCGGACCACATCACCTGGCATTAGAGACCGGTCCGCAAGTCCAACCTGTGAAGAATAAGACTATCAACCAAATAACTCATATATATTGGCCTCTAACAATTTCCTTATAACAGCTGTGATGATTACAGCTCTCTGCATGGTATAGGTAATTTAAAAAAAAATTGTATTAAACCACATCTTAGCTGAGTACGTGACTCAAAACTATTTAGTTTATTCTTAACGAAACATTCTTAAAAAGCCACTTTGTCCCTGGTACTCTGAGATGGGATACAAATCCCAAGATCTTCCACAATCTTGGCAACTACTCTAGCTTCTGAGCTACCTGGGACTGATGAATTCTTCAAGCTTCAACTTTTTACTCTTTCACTACTACACATCATATTTTTATCAGTGTTCAGGCAATCCACCCAAACAGTCAAAAGAAATATTTCTACATATATGTTAAACTTTTAATAAAGATGATAATTTGTTCTAATTATTATAATTGATTGATTATTATAATTTTGCTTTCACATGGAAAATATTCTTATTACCATATAATATAGTACTAGGGACAAGATTAAGCATTTCTCATTAAAATTGATCAAATATAATAACTATTTAGTTTATTTAGACCAGACTATTACTATTTAGAGTAGTCTTAATGTTTTATTTGTTAGGTTCACAAAATTTTATTTCGCCTTGGACCTGCTTACAAAATATAACCAAAGGATTGTTCTATGATATATAAATCAAACATGCATAAAATTAAACAAAGCTCACAAGATTTTCACATTATGATAGCGTCATGGATCAAACTTTGGATGTTTCCAGAGACTACCAGTTAAGAATATAGACCTGTTTTGATCACAATGAATTTGATAATAGACATATGCTTTGTGCAACTTCTTTGTGTACCAATTTAAATAAATACAAAATATTGCACTAATATAAATATTCTCTAAATCCAGACCAATAACTTTACCGTTTATTGATACTAACTAAAATTTGTGTCATAATAGTGAAGCTTCTCGTTGTGTATTATAATCTATTTCCATTTAAAATACATTATTGTAACCTATTATTTTTTGTGAATAGGTAAGATACATGTATCAAAGAGCTTTCTAATTCAAAGCATTAACAGATGTTTGAATTAAATAAGAATAAATCTTGGTATAGTATTTGTATGTTCAAAATGCAGTGATATGCATTAAATAAGTTGAGCAATAGAATCTTTCCAAGTGTGAAATTTAAAAACAGATGAGGGTATTAGAAAATCTATATAACAGTGCTTTTTATGGCTACATTCAAAGTAGAATTTTCCGAATTTTATTTCAGAATTTTGCGTTTTCAAAAGTGTCATGAATTACAACCAAGTTTTAGGAATTGTTGCAGTAGAATGATATAATTTATTTTTTATTTTTCGTGTAGAAAAGGACACGATATGACCGGCGATAGTCAGGACTCATTATCATCAACTCTCCTTGCTTACCGACTTCTCAGATATTACTCGTTCAGTGCCGGAAGGATGCCACACAACGCGAATTTCGCCTTTTTGTACTGCTGCCTCAATGTCGCTCTCTTGGTCACTGGAGATGCCTTCATAGTTTTCGAGTACGAGACCGAAGACCACTTGTCCGCGGTTGTTGATTTTATACACTTCATCCTCGTAAAAGTACTGAAAGTCAGTCGGCGAACCTGGATTTTGCCCCGCCATATTGACGGGAAATATCTAAAGACACAAATAATTTTGTTTTTTACGTGATTATGTTCTTTCTGACAGCTGATTGCAATGTGTGGCGCATGCGTCAATAATTATTGCAACTGTGTCGTCATCTTGCGGCAACTTGCAAAAAGAATAGTTTAACATTCCATTTTACGCATTTATATATATGTATCACATAGCATAATGATTTTTTGTAAATTCTAAGTATTGTAGTTTTATAATCGTCACAAGAGTTATTTTTGATCTGTTAAAAGACTTGCTGTTTTCCAGCTCCATGCAATGAAGTGCATACTTAGGTCACGTGCGTATTGTGTATGTAGTTTACCGTAGGTTTAAATAGTAGTTTCGTATGTTTCGGAATCCTTCCAATTAAGAAAATACCGACTACTGTTAAAATTAGTTTTTAAGTGGCTGTTATTTCAAAATTAAAATTGGACAGCCCGATTCCATACTAAAAGGGGTATGTCCATCTTAGTATGGAATTTGGTTTCACATTGCATCACGATATGCTTTCAAGTAATTTTGCCTCTTTTTTAAAGGTGTCGCTTGTGTAATAAGTTTATCTTATCTCTAGTCAACTGGATTCATGAGAAAAAAGCTGATGAAGTTCATTATTTATTAAGGGTAATCATCAGAAATACTGGTCGACCATAACAAATCTTTCAGCTACAGCAAGGCTCAGACCAAATAAAATTTGGTAGAGGTACTTTTTTAGATCATACCATAGCAGCAGATAGCACTGAATTATCCATTATGACTAGATGTCTTTTGGGGCATAGTAGGGAAAAAAATGTTGGACGATTCAAAAGTACTTTTAAGAAGTCTATTTGAATAAAGATTATTTTGACTTTGACTTTAACTTTTGCTTCCTTTATAAAAACTCGTACGAATTTTGACTTTTGCATTCTCTATAAAAACTCGTACGAATTTTATAAATCATTCTAACTTAGCTCGGCGGCGTAGTGGGTAATCGCCGCAGTCCGCGATCGTTGTCGTTAAGCAACTTTCACAAGGGTCGGTCACGGGATGGGTGACCAAAAAATTATTATTTCGAGCTACTCCGTGCTTCGGCATAGGCATATTAAGCCGTTGGTCCCGGCTGCATTTGCAGTCGTTAATACCCTCCAATCCGCATTGGGCAGCGTGGTGGGTCATGGCCCATCGTCCTTAACCATCCACAAGGAATGCCTGAGCCCCTGCAGTGGGGACGTAAAAAGACTGATGAGTGAGTTCCAAACTAATAAATCATTTTAACCTAACCAATAGAATTAGGTTACAATTATTTATATAGTCTATAAAAAGTATCATTGTTTATTAAAATATGCAAAATAAATAATTTAATATTAAAATAACAATTTTCTATTGATTCGATGAGTTTTTAGAATGGTCGTTTCTTTTTAAAGCCTAACCAAAAATATTTAGAATTCCGGTAAGGCAGTCAAAATATTTAGAACCAACCAGACGGTATTTTACAAAGGAATATAAAATTTTAAGTTTACGAACCAAAGTTCAAAAGTGAGTATGCAAATAAACAAGATGAATAAACTAGTATCTCGTAATTCATATGTATTTTATATTTGCACAACGAACTTACTGCATAAGTATTTGTCAGAAAGCATTCAACGTTATTTAGAGAGTAGGCAATAAAATAATTCATATTTATCTTTGAATATCCTTATTGAGTTGACAATATGACAATGTTGTGACGTAGTCGAGCGCTGAGGCTATTCTGGCTTACCCGATCAATACTGTTATCAAAGGTATAGCTGTGTAGGTGTTTACATGCGCCTAGTATACGCACAGCGGCGCTTGAATGAGGTTGTCGCGAGTGATAACGTGAATATTGTACACTACTGACTAACATAAAAGGAGGAAATGTGAAAAAATGCCGCTCCCTGAACTTATCAAAAGGGCCTCGAGCTATTTTCTAGGCTTGGAGTTCGATGAAAACGAGGAACCACCCGATTATGTGGACAACGAAATATTATTTTGCAAGAATAATGTGTGTGTGCACCCGCCGACGATCGCGAGACACGAATTAGATGTAGTGCATCATCCCGGTTACCTAACCGTCACCACGAAAGTCTTCACCGATCAGCACAACAACGCTAAGCGACCAACGTTATTTCTGAACTGGATACCGAATTCTACACTGCGTAAATGCCCCTCGGCCGTCGAAACGAGCCCCAGTGACGATATAGGATGTGGCACATTAAAATTAGCTAAACCAAAGACGATCCCAAAATCGAATACAGAATTAAAAACAACGAAAGTGGATTTGAATAACGAGAATGCATTTTCCGATTCATCAGAAACTACTAGCCTCAATTCTAACTCTGATAAACAAAGTATAAAATCGTCTGAACGGTATACGAATAACGATACAACACAAGACGAGTTGTCGTCTAGTTCAAAACCTACTATAAAATCGGTGGAATCATTTAAAGACAATGTATTTAGTAGTTTCGATAAAGACGATTCCAAAGACGATATGTTTATAAACGATAAACATGTGCGTTCACAATCAATGACGTCAGTAAACATAACTATAGCTAATCCTAACATAGAGAATGTTGATTTGACTCCGGATTCGTTGTCGGGCGACAAGTTTATAAGATCTCTGTCTATGAGTTCGTGTGACGAGGGTAACCCCAATTGGATGAGTACACCGGAATTTTTGGCTTTAAAACATAACTTAGCGTTTCCTGAGAGTGTACAAAGTTCACCAGTTCCGCAAAGGAGAGCTCCCATGAAATGCCGTAGGTGGGTGGTATATTTTATAAATTATCTCTGCTTATCTTATGACAAATAGGAGCTATAACGTTATATATAAATGTATTACCTACTGTTATCTCACGCAAGTGTAATTTTTCTACAGCAATAAATCCAGAATATAAATAGCAAATACCTAATAGCTATAATAGAGGAAAGTATCCCCGGTATGGAATAGTATCCCTAAATACAATACTGAAATTCTTTCCTAAGTTGTCCGGAAAAGAGAAAAAATTTCAATAGGACCAGTAAGTCCTCTCTCTGACTTCGCTTAACTTTTTTCCAAGTTAATGATTTTTCTGTTTTCGATATTCCATATTAGAGGGATGATATTTCATATTTCGTTATTTCTCTCTAATTATAAATTTTTCGTCCAAGTAAAATATGATTAACGAATAAGACCGGGTAGACTTCGGCACAGTATTAATATTAATTATCCTTTTATCATTTATCGTGATAACGATTATAGTAACACGTATTTTGGGAAAATTTAAGTATTGTATAATTTAAAAGATTTTTCAAAGGAGGCTTGACATACGGCATATTAGTCGGTTAGTTAGGCTCCCTTTGCACCATTTTGGCACGGAACACAAAAATTTATTCATCTTTTAAATCTTCATTGCATTATAACTATACACAAGAGACGGACTACAGCCTAAGGTTCAGGCAATATAACTTCATGGTACGGCAAACATATCTATGGTAAATTGTTTTAAAAAAATAGAAACAAAATGATAAAAGTTTTTTTTTATAACTGCGTTTAACACCAATCTATGATCATCACAGAAAAACATGTATGTAGCAGGAAAACCTTAATTTTTTATCACATTATTAACCTCGTTGTCAACTTTCGCAATGTGTAAATAATTCGACTTTCAAATGATCTATTTGCATTTCTTTTTACACATGTCATTGCTAAATATGGAAATTCTAAACGTCTTACAAGACCGTTGGCAGACCTACTTACTGATACTCATGCTAATTTTCATAATTATGTTTCTTCATTTACAAGAGGTGAATAGAAACATTGTCGTGCTGATTAGTGGCGGACTAAGGGGGAGGGGGGTGGAGGGGGCCCTGGTCCTCTTGTCTTAGGAGGGCTCCAAATGGCTGCAAGTTCCCTTGATCAAATCATAAATTGGGGTTGTAATGTTGTTGTAAACGCAATATCAAGTTTCTGCCCCTGTTGGAAAAAATGTTGGTCCGAGCCTGATGCCGCCCCGGGCCCCCGACGAGGTTAGTCCGTCACTGGTGCTGAAAGTACTTTCATATTGCCTTTAGAATAAGAGTGGCCCAAATCGTTATTGAATATAAGCGATATTTTTTACATGAAATATGATAATTATTTAATTTTTCTTTTCATTCCCTGCGACTTCGCCTGCTTAAATTATAACTTAGCTCCCCGTAGATAAAAGACTTTTATAATGTGAGTATAGATAATTGGAAAAATATGTCGAGCAACTAAATTAAATCTTATTTTCTAAGACTTTCACCTGTGACTTTCACTATGCTGAATTTTTATTTTTATTTATTTATTCTTATTTATATATTTATTAAATATTTTTAGTGTGACCTATTATTATACGTATAAAAATGTCAATATAACTAAAAAGCATGAAATAAAAACTTTTTATCAAAAAATAGAAGCGATTTCAAACTTTAAAACAGTAATAAATATTACTTATCTCAAAAGCGCCTTCAAGAAACGCTATTGAAGTCAGTTCAATTTTTTTGAAAAAAGTCTTTTACTTTATTATTTCAAATCATTGGGATTTGACTTTATTATTCTATTTCAAGAATCTTAGTGGGTAGGTACTCTCTGAAAATTAATCTACAAAAGTTCAACCTTACTTACATATTAAAATATTCCATTTAACTCGTTTTCATGCCATAAGTTCGTACTTTATACCCTTGAAGCGTGGTTTGCTTTAATTATCTGAAAATTCCTTTGCATCCCACGTTCGCTCCGGAATGCTGACCATTATTCGTAACTCAATAAAATGAAATTTATTTTACATCTGTTTCAAAGTGTTTGTAGACCTTTGATATGGATTTATCCCTTCTTGTTTTATTGTTAAGTCTAAAACGTTTGTTGGCTCAACAATAGACAACAGTAGTTAGATATCAAAGCCGTTTTCATAACTGCTACTAGTACTTTTACAGCGATGCCTACTGTGAGACAGACATGTTTTCAAAGTATCAAAAGAAAAAAATCATACACTGAAAAGTGAAATATAATACTTATCTCAAAAGCGACTTATTCAACAAAATGTTATTTAAGTCGGGCGTAAGTTTTCTGTAGGTTATTAATTAATTTATAGGCGCCCGTTCTGTTTCTTTTTTTAAAGTTTATTTTTATATTATGATTTTTAGTGATATTGTCATTTTTATGTAATGGGTAACACTAACAATAGTTTTCTGAAAAACACGTCAAAACCGTGTTAAATTCGAAGCCGCTATTTTTGAGTCAGTCTGTCTCCTGAGTATGACAAATACTATGCTGAAAATTAAAATGGGACCACACCGGATGCACCAGCTTTCAAATAAAAAAAAGTATCAGTAGGATCGGTTTACCCTGTAAAAAGCTTTGAGATAACAAACATCACGCATACTTAAGACTTATATGGTTTTCTCATCGATGCCAAGCCAGATCTAGACCACACGGCAAGCACTCGCTTTCAAATAAAAAACAACCATTAAAATCGGTTTACCCAATACAAACAGAAAGAAAATACTGTCGAATTAAGAACCTCCTCCTTTTTTTGAAGTCGGTTAAAAATGGCGTGGTTAGGTTAAATTGTATATCCAGAGTTGATGTTTGTATAATTTTAGCAGGACTTGAACTTAATTATAATATTTGGAGATAATGATGTACTCGCCTGCTACTTGATTTCGGTAGGTAAATACTCCAAAGGGCCAACCTTTTAAATAGGTACATAATTGTCACGTCATGAAGGTGCTCTATACGTTTGTAATCAAATTTTACAAGGGTCGGCATAATGTGAGTAACCAAAAATTATTATCTCGAAGAGCACTCTATTTGTTTTGCACGTTATGCCGTTGGTCTCGGCCGCATCTGAAGTCGTGAAGAATCCGCACTGGGCGCGTTGGGTAATGGCCCGTTCTTCCTAGTCGACTTTATTTTACCTCTGTCCATCCAGGCTGGTTATAATGTTAAATGGCTTTTTGGTCTTTAGGTTTTCAGTGGACCTGAGTCAAATGCGCTCGTTGAGGTTGTTTTTCAACGACGACAGCTGCACGTGTGGGCAACTAGTGGTGGCTTCCAGGGAGTCACAGTACAAGATTCTACATTTCCACCACGGCGGGCTGGATCACTTGGCCCAAGTTTTGCACAGGTGGCATTCATTGTTGCACAATATCAAACTTACACCAGGTAATGCTTTAATTACAAATAAGTACTGCTATTGGATAAGATTTATGGATAATTACAAAACGAGGTCTAAAGCTTAAAGTTTTTAAACCATTTATACCTGGCACTAAAATTAGTCCTTGTTCTATAATAAGATGATTTGCAAATTGTGCTTCCATAGGTTTTTCTATAATGTTCGGTCATAATAATTACCGAGAAAAAAATAAAAGTATTGATTTGTGTATTAAAATTTAATCCAACATTTGCCATCATATCGGATTTTATTTAACTCTATCACAGGCGTATGCTTTTCCATTTCAGGGTCCGAAGAACCAAACCTTCCATACCGTCATTTCATGGTATGCCGACCGGAAGTGCAAAAATCAGAACAGCACCCAGAAGAAGGAAAAGTGCCGAAAATTACCCCCGAGCTATTTTACGGGAAACTGATGAACAGCAAAGGCGTCATCGAAGACGATTTGTTTTTAAGAAAATGCATATTCTTCGGAGGACTGGATAAGGAACTTAGACGAGAAGTTTGGCCGTTTCTTCTCCATTGCTATCCTTATAATTCTACTTACGATGAAAGGGAGATCATATTACAAATAAGAACTAGAGAATATGAAGAAATAACTAAAAGAAGGCTGGAAAAGATGACGCCAGAACAGCATGCCGTATTTTGGAAGACAGTACAATGCGTCATAGAGAAGGATGTGGTTAGAACAGATAGGGGAAATCCGTTTTTCGCTGGTGATAACAATTACAATATTGAAATTATGAAGAATATTTTGTTGAATTATGCTGTTTATAATCCAGTGTTAGGGTAAGCTTACTGCCATTTTTTTTATAATACTTAAGGCAGATGACCCGACTTTGACTTTTTTAAAAAAAAGGATAAAAGTGATCTTTGATTCTGGGAATAGTATAGTTTGCCATAATTTAAAATTTTTACCTATATGTAAGTTAGAACGCCCTGAAATCCTAAATGGCCAATAGGAGGTCAGTGGCTAAAACGAGGCCATTTGCCTTATAATATATTATACTAGATATGAATATTTCTATATTCTATTCAGAACAGGACTAAAGCTAGTGTCGGTGTAAACTTTTCTGTTCTGTAAACGTTAACCACCAAAATAGCGACTGCGCAGTAGCAGTCACTTCCGGTCTGCGCAGAATATGGCTATTTAGTTCAACTTACGTGTCGCGCATTATACTCCGTTGGTTCGGAGATGTGAAAAAAAATTATCAAATTCATCGAGACATATCTCTGACTATTAAATTGAACGATATGTTATCTGTTAGCGAGGTAAAGTCAGAAGCCATAAAAACGGCGAGTACGTATGATTTAAAAAGGTATGTCGAGTCCACGTAGAGAAACTTTTTATCTACACCAAAATATCATCTAGAAAGACATCAGCTGACCAGTCATGACCCGAAGGGACAGTTCTCTGTCTGGGGAAAAGGCGGTCAGGCACCTTGTTCTTTTCCGAGCCCGTAAAGAAGAAGTGAGGTGGGTCCGGGGGTTTCCTTGCTGGATCCCAGATCCTTAGCCCTATCGAAGGTATGCCGCAGCGAGTTTTTGTCTGGTAGGCTACCTACATTAAAGCCCACATTTAAGACATAAGATGTATAATTCCCTGGCGTTAACCAAAATTAGTAGTAGGTAAAGATTAATAGATACTATTTCTTATTATTATTACAGCTATACACAAGGAATGAGTGATTTACTGGCACCCGTCCTTTGCGAAATAAAATGTGAGGCCGAGACTTTCTGGTGCTTTGTCGGTCTCATGCAGAGGGCGATATTTGTATGTACGCCCACTGATAACGACATGGATAATAATCTTGTAAGTATTTTTAAGTCCCTTTTGATCCCTCTTAAAGGTGTTAGTAGTATTAGACAACCTCTGCAGCCGAATAGCTCGCAATTTATTTTTAAGTTGTTACCATCTCTGAGGGTTTGGATTCTATTCCCGGTCTGGTCAATTTAGAAATTAACTTTTCTATATTGTCACGGGTCTAGGTATTGTGGTATCTGGATACATTATAAAGAGTTACAGTTTAGAATCTGATAATTAACGTGATATTATTTTAATGACTTCAAAGGTACCAACATTTACCCTAGTAGAAACTTGATTTGGGCCATGTAACATTCGTTGGCCCATGCTACCAATCTCTAATGGGGGAATTAAAATTAAGATAAAATATGGAAAAGTATATAGAATAATATAGAATGTAATTTAACATATTTAATATACTTCTTCTAGAGTTATCTTCGTGAACTAATCAGGATTATGTTGCCACATTTCTACAAACACTTAGAGAAACATGTTGACGCTATGGAATTACTGTTTTGTCATCGATGGATATTACTGTAAGTGTTTTTAATAATTCTTTGTAAGGCCAGGAATATGACCGGCTAACTCCCTAGCCATAACTACGAATGAATGATAAAGAATTATGATTATAGATTCGATGACAGTGTTACCATTTAGTCTTTTTCTTCTTCTTTTTTAATTCATGGCCTATTTGCGTTTACACAATTACGCCAATGTCACGGTTGTGGTCTTACATGTAAAGAAACAATAATAAAATATGACAATTTTGAGCTCTGAGCGCGTCTATCTGATTACATTGTTAAAGATAATACAAATATAATGTATATAGAAAACAAAGATATTTATAGATTAAGACTTTACTTTTAAGAGGTTTCTCCACACTCAAGATACATTTTATATTTGTTGGACGTGGAACTTTTGATGGGAGAAAATCATAATACTATCCTTTAAAAGATATGTCAAATTGTTAAAATAAATCTAAAATCGCCATAACAGCGCAAAGATATCCTATGCTATGGCTAGAGAGTTAGCCGGTCGTGCCATGTTTTCTAATTTTTAATAAAACAATTTATTTCTTTTCACACAAAGTTGTAAAGTATGTTTTTTATATACTAGGATTATGACTATATATTCACTCAAGTGTGAAAAGCTGGTGCCTGCTATAGGTTTTCGCAAGAAACCGGTACACGGGTCACCAGGATAAATATAATCAAATGTTTATCTTCCTGTACTGTCGTGCTTGGTTGTTGGTGTTTTACAAATCTTAAAGTTTAAAGTGAAGTATGTAATATAGGTAATTTGGTGACAGCTTCTAGAGATCAAACATACAAACGTAATAATAAAAACCCAAAAAAGAAATTTGAATTGCTATAAATTTCTATTAAAGGCCATTGGTAGGTCTTATGTCGCTCGGGATGGGATCGACTCTAGTTCCAACATGCTCAAGTTAACTGCATTTCATTCTGTTCATCCATCAAAACCATGGAAGATTTTAAGTAGACTTGTATGCAACAATTAATGATATGAAATTGGACAGATGTTTCAAGCGTGAGTTCACGGAAGCAGTGGCACTACGAATGTGGGAAGCATGTTGGGCTAACTATCAGACTGACTACTTCCATTTGTTCCTGTGTTTGGCCATCATTGCGGTGTACGCTGACGACGTCATCGCACAAGATCTCAACACTGATGAGATGTTGTTGCATTTTAGTTCCTTAGGTAAGCGTTATTTTGATCAATAAAAAAAATATATATAAGAACATCACATATATTGTTTAGACTCCAAAATTGGGTAGCTGAAGCCAATTATGGAGTATCTGAGACAACGTTGAATGGTGTACAAACTTTGTAATATCACAATTAGTGGTTTTTTGAAGGGATTGGCAAGAATTTCTTCTATCTAGCCGGATTATCAGGATCGGTAGATTAACAGTACCAATTTATTTCTGTGAATAGATGAAAAAAGAATATCATCAACACCTACCAATTTAGTCGCAAAACTAGTTTGATTACACACTTTCCAGTTGATGTAAAAAACTAGTGATCCTGCCCGATTTTGTAGAGTGATATCCGATTGCATTCCTTTCCCTTGTTTAGGAGGAGTAATAGTCTAACAGACATTGGGTAACTTACATTCAGTTACGAGTTCAGAGACAATGTTTTTGGCGAAATGCCATGCCAATATGATTATAACAGGTAAAATTAATAAAATATTATTAATGCATTATTTCACAATGCAATATTTGTAAATATTCAAAATGAAAAATGCACCAGTTCCAGGTGCCCGGGGTGGGATATGAACCCATGACTTTTCGCAGCCAGGGCGACTGCTCTAATCACTGAGCTACCCGAGACCCAACAGGACTGACGAATTTTTTAAGCACTCGTTACATTTCGCTACTACAGAGCGTATTTTCATCAATGTTCAGACAATCCACCCAAACAGCTAAAGAAATATTTTTACAAGTATTCAAACCTTTCGCATAACATTTCAAATTTGTTCAAATTATTATACTTTAAGCAATTTGCTCTCACTATACTGTACTGATAAATATACTTAATAAAAAATGCTTAAAAATCCACTAACTTCAGGTACCCCAAGGTGGGACGGAATGCGAAAGATCGTGGGTTCGAATCCCACCTCAAGACTAGTGCATTTTTTATAAAAAAAATCCTTGTGTGTACTTTAGCACTCATCTTGAAGTTCTAAAAATTTATTCACAGCAATGTATATGGACGGGAGGCTGATACTTCGCAAGGCGCGTGGCCTCTTGCACCAGTTCCGACAGCTCGTACGGATTCCATGCGCACTGGCCGGGATGTGTCAGCGCTGTGGTCCTGGAATCTGGGACTCCACGCATCGTCCCAGCATAGAATGCACGGGTGCACATGATATCTGCGAGTATGCTGTACGTTAGACTTTCACTGAAAATAATGATAAGAATTACCTGATTAATATTTGATAGATTGTCACCGCATAACATCTCAGCTTCTTTCATAAGAGATATCACATTTGAAATTTGCAAAAGCCTTAGCCATAGTGAAGATATAAAAGTAAGGACAAAAAGGCAACTTATTCATTATAAAACTAATGCTATATAGAGATACAGTCGCAGAAGTGTCTAAACGAAAAAGTATTTTCTTAGTATTTGAGCCTGATGCAAATATATACCTATTGTGTTAGTGAATGATTTTAGTTGTTATACATGTGTGCCTTTCTGTTAACACAGGACTACATATTTCAAATGCATATTAGTTTCATTATAATACCCAAGTGTGTAAACCACGATGCACAGCCAATGTAAACCGTAATGTCGAGTTTCATTGTATAGGTGTCCAAATAAGCGAATGAAATGACGCAATGAAAATGATCAGGCACTCTTGCTTCTTGAACGTGTTTGAATAAATCAAATAGTATGCTCATACACTCGTAGTCATTTATAACAAAACTTAAGGAACATTTAATGGGAATACTATTGAAATAACTTGTTACATGCTATATCAAAGTCTCTAATTCAAAGGACGAATTGAAAAGGAATGAGAAGGTATGTAATAAATATTATCCTTCAATATTTGACTAAAGGGTTGGCTACAAGCATATTTTTTTTCATAATAGTTTTAATTTTATTCCAATTAGATAAGACCACAGAACATAGCTGTGGATAAGTATTTTTCATTGGCTAATACAATAATCCACAACAAAAACTTGTGCTGTATCAAAATTAAAATCGTCCAATAAGTATACTGGAATTAACTACTTAATTAAGTGGAATAAAAATATAGTTTCATTCGCCGGTCGAATTGTATTTGAATTAGTTTTTCAATTTTTACCTATTATTCTAGATAAGCACTTACTTTGTTAGTTTTATAAAAATAACAGCAGTTATCTTATATTGTATAAAATTTTTGTCGTTATAAATTTGATTGGCCTTTATGTATGATATAAATAAGTTTTTGATTATATAAAGTAAAAGCGACAATATTTTGCCCTCGGGCCAACATCGCATTCTAAAATATCATGATTCATGACTTATATTATGCCGATGCTCACAACTTATTTAATAAAATAACTTTATATGGGTTTGAGAGTGTGCAGGGAACGAAATCTACTATTATAATTTCAATCTTAATTTTTGCAATATACTCTACGGGAATCAAGTTATTTACTGGATCTTACACGGCTAGTAAGACTTTACAAATAAGTTATAAAAATCATTGAAGGGACTAAGCTCGAAAAAAATATAATTGCGAGATTTAAAATTTATAATAAAATTGAATAAAGGCCATTACCATTTTTAGAAAAGATCAGATGATTATTAACTTTTCTTGTATCACGTGAATATTTTGTTATTTATTGTTCTTTGACTAATTGCTTTAAATCTTTTTCCTTCCATGTAAGAACTGAAAGTACTGATTAAGGTTGCAATGATACCCAAAGATAAGTTGAGGTATTATAGATTTTACATTATTCCCGCAAATCCCGCAGAATACCGTTTAATTTACGACCAGGAATCTCGATATTATGTTCCGTAAAGGCGTGTAATATATTAATTAATACACTTTAGTACATTTGAAATGTCGTAAAATTACATGGGCCGTAAAGCCTGTTCAAAGTTGTTTAATTTGCTTTCGACAAAGCAAAAACATATAAAAATTAAATTGCCATTTCAAATAGCTTCTTGCAATGTTTCACATTTAGAGTTAGGGAGTTCTTGTTTTGACGTCTAAATATCTAAGAAATCAATTATAGATTATAGATACAGTATTAATATAAATAATACACAAACATTTTGAGGGGTTTGATAATTATCATCACTATCATCCTATTAATATCCCCACTGTTGGAGCTCAGGCCTTCCCTATGGATGAATTCGAATAGGGAGAATGGGGTATGACCCACCACGCAGGCCGTGTGGACCACCAGGTGTGGATTGGTGGGTATTAACGACTGCAGATGCAGCGAAGCACGAAGCAGCTCGAGATAATAACCTATCCTTGGTCATAGCGAAAGTTGATTAACTACCACATCGTACCAAATACTACCAAAATATAATCTGATTTAATTAAAGTTGTAATTTTTTTCGGATTTATTTTAGAATTTAATCACACTATAAGTAGATTGTTAAACTGAAATGAAAGTTGATCTGAAATAGCCTAACACGTTTAAAAAATCGGACTACCTATTTGTATTATATGTAATGGTCTAGTCCAGTCCAGTTTGTTGTTGTATGATGATTGAAAATGCTAAAACTCTTAGCTATTTAAACTTACTAAATACGTACCTATTCGTAAGTAATTTCAGTAAATTATAAATGCAAAAGGCTATATTTGACATTTGATCTGAAATAGCCTAACACGTTTAAAAAATCGGACTACCTATTTGTATTATATGTAATGGTCTAGTCCAGTCCAGTTTGTTGTTGTATGATGATTGAAAATGCTAAAACTCTTAGCTATTTAAACTTACTAAATACGTACCTATTCGTAAGTAATTTCAGTAAATTATAAATGCAAAAGGCTATATTTGACATATTCTATGAAGTCTATTTCCAAAACTTATGTAAACGGGACATATCAACCCAGAAAAGTGTTCTGAGATTAAAAATTTCGTAACAAATTTCATATGTTGCATTTAAAAATTCAACTAGAGCTACTAATAAGTTTGGATATCATTGTATTTATTTTTGAGAGTTACACATGTCTGCACGTCAGGTCACCATAATGTGTCAAACTTTTGTTGATTTTCAGTTCTAGCCTGAACGCATTGCGGTTTATTTTAACATGAGGTGATGTGAACTGTACCTGCTTCTAGCGAAGAGGCCTCACTAATCTTGTTTCCATGCCATGAGTCTCTGATGGCGTTGGAATTACTTTAAAGCCGAATTTAAATTACGAAACTAGTGGCATGAAATTAGTTTCATTGCATTATTTTCACCAGCAATTTCACGTGTAAACGTCTAGTGTCACAATTCATGCGTTAGTTTCATATTATAACACTAGTTTCGTTCTATGCGCATATTTTTAATGAAAGTAGTGTCACGCAAAATTGAAACCATTATTTATATGGCGAAACAAGTGTCGCTACCAGGGTCGCTACCCGTCCAAAATTTTTCGGGACCGTCCCGATTTCAATGTTAGTGTCCCGCGTCCCGATTTCTTATTAATTTTGTCTCGATTTTTAATAATGTTCAACGATCGCTCTATTTGCGCTTTAAGTATCACCACGCAAATCCCGCCGCGATGCAGACCGCATCTTAAGTTTCTTTTTATTTTTCTTACTTTGAACTGACGTCCGATGACCGTTCGAAAATTCCAATTTTTTTTTTAAATTGCGACCCGGGTCGCTACACCATTCACATTAGGTTACTGAAGCTTCGCTGTTGACAGAGACAGTCTCTCAGAGATACTGTTTATTTCACGTCATTACGAAACTAGTTTCACATGTGCTAAAATTAGTTTCGTGAAACTTATTTTTCATGCATGACACTAATTTCGTGATGAAAATTCGGCTTTAGAATTGGTAGTGTTTGTAATTACCCTGCAGGCATTCACAGAAATAATTTAGATTGTGGAAGGTATTAGTTTTAATTCAGAACATCTCTGTGATTTCGATAAATTGCAAATCAAAATAAATTAAAATTTGTTCACATACTGAGTATTAAAGAAACTTGTACCTGTTTATAATATAAAGAATTTTATTTAAAACTTAGATTAAGGTCGCCTGAATGAAATGACTTCTAAGTGATAAGGCCGCTAATCTGTCTGTTATCATGTTTTAGTATCTTTACCAAAGGTGTTTGTACAATAAAGAGTATTTTATTCATTCATTATAAAACATTTGTCATATCGATGAGTGATCAACAATTTCTATGTAGTATTGTTGATCGAAGGTCTAATGGTTACCGAAATCCTAGGTATATGATAATAGGGTAGGTAATAAATGTCAATGTCATAAACATATTTTTGTGTTCCTTGGTGCATATGTATAGTTTTTTATGACAGATACTTATTACGTTTGAGATGCGAAGAATTAATTAATTTATGTACCTAAATTAGACGTAATGTGAACGATGGATTATTAGAAAATTACATATTTATATTATATTATATTATATTATATTATATTATATTATATTATATTATATTATATTATATTATATTATATTATATTATATTATATTATATATATTATATTATATTATATTATATTATATTATATTATATTATATTATATTATATTATATTATATTATATATATTATATTATATTATATTATATTATATTATATTATATTATATTATATTATATTATATTATATTATATTATATTATATTATATTATATTATATTATATTATATTAATATTAGTATACATAATTATAGACTAAATCAATGTTTATTTCGCATATTGTGAATTGTTATGCATACTGTGATATATTATGATCTGCTTGTAATATAATATTATGGTATTAGTATTATGATGTAAGAAATATATGATAAATTAATAATCATATCTTATTAGGTAGTATTATTAATAAATGTGCGAGCATTCCATATGTCGTAGTTTTATTTATACAAATTAAGCTATACAATATTCCGAAATTATTAGATGAACACAATTTTTAAAGCGCACAATAAAAAAAAAATTATTAGATAAAAGAGCGCGTGTATTCAAATAACTAACTTATAAATATGACGTCCATATAAATTGAACTTAATTAATCATTAGAGAACTACATTATATTTAAATTTTAAAAGATTTGTCGCATCACATCAAAAACGTGATGTTTTTCTTTCCATTTCTTGTTGTTGTGTTGATATATTTTTTAAAGGGAAAATTGATGTATTACGGAGTCATTAAGCACTTTTATAATAATTGTACCTAATTATTGTGAGTAAAGCTGAATTTACATTACGAAAGTTTCACAAAACTAATATTGGTACATGTGAAAATAGTTTAGTGTAATTAGCACTATCTCTGTCATAACGTAACTTAAAAATATCTCTGAGACAAAGACTGCGTCAATATCGAAACTTTATTATGCGCAAGTGGTGTCGCGGCTCTAGATGAAGCTGATCGCGACGCTGTGTGAATCGAGGTGAAGTATTAAAAAAAAATTAGTTCCCGAAATCAAACTAGATATAGCTACGGTACTTTCTTGATTTCTCCATGACAACCATTCCGGTTTTCTTTCATGTTTACAAGTAAATTAGATTTCAAAACTCAATAAACAACTCATATTCTATTTGTACTTTTTCGTATTTGTATTGATATCTAAGTTTCGAACTTTGCAAATTTCAGTTTTTTAATATGTTAGTTAAATGGAACGGAAATGACTGTCTTTTGTCCATTCGTTTCCTGCAAAAATCAACTTTTGCTAGGGTCGCCATCTAGCGGAGGTGCTTTTTTGTGGCTTTAGTTTTTTTTAAATACTTCTTCATTAGTTGCGTTAAACTACTTTAATTAAAAACATGCGCCTCGCACGAAACTGCTCTTGCACTTTCGAATTGTAAATCAGGTGAATTTAATTAAAAACAGTTTTTGTCAGCCGTTTTGTGCAATTCGCCTCCTGTGTCTTTGTGGTCTTTACTTTACTTCTCAATATCTCTAATATCTGCTAAATCTATACTAGACAATATAGATTTAGTAGATATTTTATCTGAGGTAGACAGGTACCACCTTTTTAGGTTTACGCCCTCTTTTCATGACTTATTGGATAAATATCAAGAAAGATTTTATATAGATATGTAGATACGGAATTCCTGACCAGGAAATTGAATACGGAAAATGAATAGGTATGTTTAAACTTCATTAGAATGTGTTTAAGCATGACGCAAAAAAAAATATTTACAGGCAGAATATTCAAATTAATTTCTTCCATCTTCTATGATTTGATAATGACGAGTCGGCCCCCAAATGGGAATCGATATTGAAACTTATGTTTTAATATAGACTTGATGTTCAAACACGATTTATGTACTTTTCGCGACCGACTTCCGCTTTGACCTTGAGATAGAGAGCAAAATATCCGTATGCTTGACTATTACTGAATGTGATATATCTCTGAAGCTAATTAAGATAAAGAAGTGAAACTAACGCGAGGTGTTAGGTTACATTACAGAGTATATCACATATATTTTTTTATAATTTTTAGAATAAAAAATTACATTAAAAAAAAAAAATAAAAAAAAAATGTTTTTTTTTCTGAGTTCTCTGTGACTTACAATCACGAAATTAATATATCTTATGCTCCTTTGTGTGCTCTATCACCCATAAAAATTGCGTGAAAAAAAAGTTGGTGCAACACAACGAAAAAAAATTATATGTGATTCGCGCCTTGTAGTGTGAGTGTATAAACAAACAAGTTCGAACTTGTTATCGAGCTGTTTACTGCATCGTTTGTTTAGCTAAAGTAGCAGTCATTTGTATTACACAAGAAGGCAGTTTGGGACTCAAATTCTGTCATAGGTATTTTGTATCAGCATTTTGAAATTATTAACTATCGAACCAAATCATTATTAAGTAATAATGTCGAGAAAGTGTAAAAATTGTAACAAGTACCTGTGTAAGATTCCTGGTTATAAAAAAATTATAAAGAATGAAGAAGAAGCTAAAGTGTTTAGTGACTGTTTGAATAAAATCGTAATAGTTAATGATATTTTTTGTAAGAAGTGTCGACTTATCCCATATATTAACAAAAAAGCTTCTACTTCTAAATGTGCAGCATTTAACTTGGCCGAAATAATGGACGATCAAAATAATCTCTCAGTACAATATGTGAAATCAGCACCTAATATCATCAAAGCAGAAGTAAAATCAAGACATATAAATAGAAAAGTCTATCGAATTTACATTCACTATATTTCCGAAGGTAATGACTACAATAGTATTCTTCGTTATTGCTGTGATTGCCCCAATGGCAAACGTACAGTGGGATGCTGTTCTCATGTAGCAGCTATTATTTATTATCTATCATATGGATGATATTTGTCCAAAATCGTACGTCCTGCTGAGGTCCTAACTAAGTTATTTGCGACTCAAAGTGTTCCGATTGTAATTAATTACAACAGTGACGATGATTAATATTTTGTTTCTTGTATTTTGATAGACACGAAAAAGTAATAATAATAAGTATTGAACACTGGCTGTTTTTTTTTTCATTTCTTTTTTAACTATTATCCCATCTCTTAAGACTAGTTACTTATGTTTTAAAACAAGCTGATGTGAAATTTCGAAAAAAAAACAATGATGTAATGTGAAAACCTTATAATACAGGGGTATACCATAAGACAGAAATCACATATAATTTTTTTTCGTTGTGTTGCACCAACTTTTTTTTCACGCAATTTTTATGGGTAATAGAGCACACAAAGGAGCATAACATATATTAATTTCGTGATTGTAAGTCACAGAGAACTCAGAAAAAAAAACATGATTTTTTTTTTTTTTATTTTTTTAATGTAATTTTTTATTCTAAAAATTATAAAAAAATATATGTGATATACTCTGTAATGTAACCTAACACCTCGCGTTAGTTTCACTTCTTTATCTTAATTAGCTTTAGAGATATATCACATTCAGTAATAGTCAAGCATACGGATATTTTGCTCTCTATCTCAAGGTCAAAGCGGAAGTCGGTCGCGAAAAGTACATAAATCGTGTTTGAACATCAAGTCGATATTAAAACATAAGTTTCAATATCGATTCCCATTTGGGGGCCGACTCGTCAACTGTCGCCTATTTCCGTGAGACGCTTGGCGGATCTTTGGTATTTACATTAATTTTGTATTTGATTTACACCGAACTTAAATGTATGATCAACCTGTGGATCAATCAACCGGTAAGCTTCTGGCGCTCCACGAATTACTCACGGTCACGACGATATAGAAACGACAAAATATCTTGTAAAAATATTAATTAATCATAATAAAACAAAATGCATGATAATTTAATCAATACATTTTATTAAAAAAAAAAATCTTTTATTCTTTAATAAAATACCTCGGAATCGAAACGCAAACGTCTGTGTTGCCAATAATATATTTTTTGTATTGAAGTTTGAGCGGCGCTTACAGTAATAGGGTAGTGAAAAATAACTCACAAAATTGCACAAAAACTAAAATTTACATCGTTATAAACACAGAGATTCCGAAATATTTGTTAAATGGCTTATTTTTTAAATAAAATACACAGTTACAAGTATTATTTCAAACATAGTAGAATACCCTATTAAGTTATAGGGATGCAAGGTTTATAAAATATAAATATATATAAAAATATCGATTTCAGTCGATATCAATATATCTCTTCATTTTGGATCTTAGGTTAATCCAAAAGATCTTGTTTGAATAAATAAATAATAAAAATTAAAACCTTATGTCAATAACATTATTTTTATTATTGTTTATTCATAAAATTATTTAGAATAAATTACTGATAATAATTGGTGGCAGCTACCAATTTACGAATAGCAGCTTGGACAAATTATTTCCATAAATCCTGTTTTTATTTCGTCCAATGATGGCACCTGTTTTTGAAAAATGCAATCATAAATCAGGCTCGTGGCCACTCGTGGTAAATGTATCATTGTCATTTTAAAAAGATGGGTTTAGAAAGAGGGGTTGGCTTGAGAATAACACATTTTCATGAAATTCAACATAAACTATACTAATAGAAAATTACTTCAAATTTCAAAACAAAAAGGTCAGGGTTACATAACAGTTCCTACACATATAATATGATAAACGCAAGAAATGCTTTGTCTACATCAAATGTCACTTTTCTCGGGTCGAAAGTGAGATCTCATTGGCGCACACGGGAAAAATAAAATTTGGGTGTAAATAAATCATTCTCGGGTTCATCCATGATTTATCACTCTACGTGTGCTAGAAGCAATGGGAAATACCTACCATTTGGCCTACAACAAATGTGGTTGTGAAGTCAAACGTTGGATGTTAACATTAGAACAATTGATATCCATGTACTCTTTTTGTACTTCGATGTTTTTAGGTTTCGATTTTCCAATATATCGTTGCATCCCTAATTACGTCAAAACAATTTTTTTTTGTCGGTAGGAAGACGTGAAGTTTTGTCAAGTCTGTTGTTTTTGTATTGCGGTCTGCGGTTATATAAAATGATAATAATTAAGAATGAGTATCATGTTCTTTGTTGTCTGATAATGATAACATTTATTACAAGCGCAAGTGATAACGTTTTGACAGCTAACAACGTACAGTTCATGGAAAAAATGGCTCATAGTATACCAAAAACGATGAGAGCGGTCGGTTTTTACAAATATTTACCAATAACGGACGTGAATAGTCTTCTGGACTTGGAAGTGAAGGTGCCAAATATTCTCCCAAACGAAATTTTGATAAAAGTAAAAGCAAGTTCCGTTAACCCTATTGATACAAAAGTTCGAGCTCCGAAACCGAACTTAGAAGCTGTTCCTAAAATCTTGGGTTTTGATGGAGCCGGTATAGTTGTCAATAAAGGTGAAAATGTAAAATTATTTAACGTAGGAGATGAAGTCTTTTTCACGGGTGATCTAAGAAAAAATGGATCTAATGCAGAATATGTTGCACTGGATGAAATTCTAGTGGGGACAAAACCTAAGAACTTATCTTTTGAAGAGGCGGCGGCAATGCCTCTTACATCTGTAACAGCATATGAGTCGCTATTTGATCGCCTTGGTTTAACAATTAAAGATAAAGGAAAATCACTCTTGATCATAAATAGTTCAGGTGGTGTGGGATCTGTTGCTACACAGTTGGCTAAAAATCTCGGTCTTAAGGTTATTGGCACAGCATCACGCCAGGAAAGCGAGACATTTACTCGCCAACATGGTGCTGACATAGTTTTGAACCATACTAATAATTTGATTCCTCAGTTGGAAGTTAACGGTTATACTGATGGAGTTAATTATATTCTGGTCAACTATGATCCATATCCATACTGGGACACACTCATGAAGGCTATAAAACCTCAAGGCAAGATTTGTTTAATAGTTGATAGCAGTGGCCTTGTGGATCTAAGACCTTTAAAGGATAAAAGTGTTACTTTAGTCTCAGAAATGATGAGCACAAGAATTAAATATAACACAGAGGACAAATATAGACATAATGAAATTTTACAAACTGTGTCTAAGATGTTAGAAGATGGAAGTTTGAAGAGTACTATGACCAGGGTAATGACACCAATCAATGCAGAAAATTTGAGAGAAGCCCACAGATTAATTGAAAATAAACATATATTAGGAAAAATAGTGTTGTCAGGATTTTGAAATGTAGTGTTCCAAAATAAATGCTGTTGAACTTAATAAAATAGTAATTAATTTTCATTAATCAATAGATATAATTATTAGGGAGGCGGACTAGAACCTCTACATACTTTTTTTTACTAATGAGTATCAAAAAGTAGGTACACAATGTCACTGCAGCATAAAGTGTAACTCCAGTTTACTTGCATTAGCTATTTTGCTGTGACTTTGCCTGGTAAATTATAGCCTATGTCACCTTGTATGATGTAGCTTCTCATAGGTGAAAGAATTTTTAAAATCTGTTACAGTTAGGTGTTTCAGTATTGTTTAAACAAACAATCAAATCTTTCCTCTATACAATATTTTATTGATGTTGAGGTTACCTAATCTTTACAACTTTACAACTTAAATAAAATGAAAATGATAATTATTGTAAAAAACTTTACAATAATTATCATTTTCATTTTATTATTATCATTAACAATGACTCAAACTTGGCAAAATGTTTCAAAAACTGTATATAAACTTAAAGGTTTTTTTGACATTTTTAAGACAAATGTTAAGATAGCTATAGTAGATAGTGAATTCAAGATTAATTGAAAATAATCTTAACAGAAACAAGTATTATACTTGTGATGATTAGTTTTGTCTTAGTGTAATAACAGGCATCATTATTTAATTCTGTATAATTTTTTCATATTTCAATTGATTAACTTCTAGATTGTGATATTATGTAGTATTCTTATTTACAATAAGGTATACCAAATAAAACTTATCTTTTGGAGTTGATATATAAATTAATTATATCATGTGAGAGCGAATTAAAACAACTATTTAATTGAATAAATATATTAAATTTTCTTTGTTAAGAGATATTGGATTTGCTAAGTACTGATGGATCAAATTCTTTGCCTTTGAACGGAGAGCCGGGTGCATTCCAAGCTTTCTTTAATATATCCATATTGCGAATTTCATCGCTTGTAGGAAGACCTCTCAGTTTTTGTTCTTGATTCCATTGAAGTTCTCTTACCTGGCATACAAAGATTTATTAAGGGCATATGAAACTACATTATTATGAACTAAATAAAACCAAATGAAATGTATGTATGTGAACTTAATCATAAAAACTGAAAATTAGAGAAACTGAAGAACAGACAATGACTACAATTGTAGCAATACTCAAAGTTATTAAGGAAATGAAAAGAAATAAAATAATTATTTACCTTAGCAATATGATCTTCTGGAAGTTCATCTAAGGGCCTTGAACAATCTATTTTTGACAAATCAATTGGTTCCTCACTATTTAAAAATTTATTCCACCAGCGTTCTTGAACTTTTTCTACAAAACATGACAAAATATTAACAATTATCTAAACCAGTGGTTCACAAAGTCAATTGTAAGGGCTCTGACTCGTCTAACAAAACTTTCTTATCTTGATCTAACTTCTTGGAGAAAAAGAGGATGTAAATATCAGAAATGCTCTAGTGGCAAATCTCTGTCAATATCTGGTCGTAACCACTGGTAGGTCACAACTGATAGTTTAGGAAATGTTGATCTATTCTACACCAAAACTAATAAAATACTCACCAAAATGCATCAATAGTCTTCCTTCACTAATGCTCCAAAAACTGTCTATTGTTTTGATTTTGTATGGCAAGGTGTCTTTGATAATGATTTCTCCATTAACACATGCTACACATATATCTCCACTATTTATAGCCACTTTAAGGTTTTTTGACGACTTTATGCCTGGTGGAAGCTTCACTATTACATCTGAAAGTTTGATGATGCTAATAAAGAATTTATCTATCTATTAAGATTTAATTACAACTTTAAGCTCTAATAAATTCTCTAAATTTGTATTGGTAATGTTGTTTTGAACTAACAACAATATTAATACACGTTTGTGCAACTGTGTGTATATGTTCTTGCAAAAATGTTAAAGTAAATAATTTTGTTTGTTTACCAAGCTCCATTATTGTTTGCGACCAAGAATATTTCTCTCTTTCGGCTCCATTGTATGTGTCACTATTTGTCTGGATCGGGATAACTGGTGGGGCACATGAAGGTATGTCATCAGTCTTTTGAATAGTACTGTTTTGTGGGTCATTACTTGCAATCTGTTTAGGTGTAATTTCAGACTTTGCTGTCTCAGAAGGGCAATCTTGAATCTCTTCTTCTGCAACTACTTCAACCTCTTGAGCTACAGTTGAGCACATTATTTCATTGTTGATGTTTACAGGGTTATGAGTATTGCTTGAATTCTCGGAGTTTGGACTTGCCCAATTTTTGGGATCGCACTTTCTTAACACTTTTATTACGAGCTCTTCAGCTACTCCTGGCGGGAAACCCATGTTCTCATACTGACCATCAGGGACGTAGTAAAAGTCAGTACTAAAACAAGAGAAACACTTTTAGAACTTTTTTAGCATTTTTAAATTCTAAGTTAAGTTAAATTAAATTCTAATTTTTAAGTCTAGTAAATTATATTACCGTCTTGCTAAGAAATTAAATATCGCTGAAAGAAATCCTAAAATAGATTTTTCGTTCACTAGAATATTTGTCAATACATCGTCATATTTTGTGTATTCTGCATCTGCCATTATAGTGAGTGTTAAAAGTTGTTCGATTAAGGTATTCCGATCGCTTCAGTACATAGAAGGCTTTGTTTCAGTGTTTTTGCGCAATGAGTGTTGTCGTATTGAAGCACCACGTATAGTTTTAGAACTAGTGCCCTTATTAAAGCAATAAAAATAACCTCTTCTTTTGTGTTTCTTATTTTTCACAAATAAGTAGCAGACACTTAGTTTAGAAAGACAAACAATCTATCACAATAACATAACAGAAAACCTGGTTTGACACACAACCATTTGACACTTGGCTGACATTAAAAAATCAGCTGCCACTGCGAGTAGCGTGACCGCTTTGAAAAAGAGAATCTACTAATCAATAAGTAGAAAACTACCAAAGTCTACTAAGGCACTAGTCAAATGCTCTTTAGTTTTTTATAGCGTCTTTTGCATGTAAGATTACAAAAACTTTTTCAGAATTGAAATTTCAATAATATCTTGTTTTATCGAGCTTAAAAAGTAATCGCGAACTCGATTACTTTGATTACTGATTAATTGATATTTTGCTAAAATTAGGTAAAAAGCAATAACTTAATTATCTAAAAGAGCAAAGGAAAAATCGGAGAATGAAAATGTCAAAAAAATATTTTAAAAGTACCCACATTTTCACTATATGTAAAAAACATAATTGTGAATACTATATGTAAAATATTATTTTTTTAAATAGGTAAGTAAGTAAGATAGATAGGTTGTTAGATAATATAATTAAAACAACTCAAAGTCAATCCATTCATTACTGTTAACAATAGAATCTCGTAGATAGGTATATAGATCGTGTTAACAATTTAAATTATGGCTACATTTTTTCATTTTAATCTCATTAAGTCTTTTGCGTCATTTTATATTTAAACATGAAAAACTGTAGGTATATTTAAAGTCGTCTAATTTTATTTGAAAATAATTATTTAATTTAATAAGGATATCCTGTCAGGTAGATTATAAAAAATATTAAACACTTATTTTTTATTCAATAAATTACATTTTAGTGGATTTCTACATAGTTGTGACGCATTAAGCCCCCACTTCTCATCTTTAATGTCTATTGACGAAGTCATATCTTGTTTAACTATTATCTGTTTTTTTCAAGGTATATCTATATTATTAGTATCTATATTACTTATGCAATATGTGCTAATACTGCACTCTATATTCATTTTCAAAGCTGATTTTGTGATGTTGTCTACAGTTATTTAAAAAATTTGTTGATTTGTGCAGAGTTGAATTATATGCCTATTAAAATATTGGTATTATAGTCATAATTAAGCTCGAGCAAAGCTACTATTTGTAGCACAATATTTCAGTGGCATCCCAAAACCAGTTTTTTAATTTACATTCCCGCCACTTGGCGGTGTTGTTTCGCTTTCGAAAGTTTCACATCCGCAAGAGAGTGGCAAGGCAAGGCGAAGCGAAGTAGGCAAAGAAGTCTCGCGCGCGAACTTGGTACGCTGCAGGCGATGACCGCATTCATATGAGTTTTTATTATTGTGAGTGTGCTGTCGTGTTCTCCGTTCCGTTGAGTGTTTACGAAAATGCTGTATAGGTGAACCGTTCTAATACAGTGTTGTGTTTGTGATAATTATTTCTTAGCTGTCCTGTCTTTTACTGTCTTTCAAAGGTTGTAAAAATGCCTTGCTCTGCAGTAACTTTGTCTATAGCGACCATTACGGCAATCGTGGCTGCTGCCTTAATGGCAATAGCGTTTTCAACGGATAACTGGCTTTACATAGAAGTAAAGCGGAGCAGTATACAGGTATGTTTATTAAACAATTTTTATATAGATTTTGTTTTATAAAAATATTTGTTCAACTTGTTAATATTTTTATATGCTATTATTTTTTTATGTGGGTAGTTCTATACCTATTTTAAAAAATACGTATAAAACCGCTTAGGTATGCTCTGAATGAAAAAAGAGTAAGTACATATTATAGAAATTTTAATTTTAAATTAACTGAGATTAATAAACCCTTACACTGAAACCTACTTCATTACATATATTATATTACCATTCAATTTTATATTTTATTTCTTACGATTTTATTCCAAAGTTAAGTTACTTACCTTATTCTAATCCAACTAACTTTCCTTAAAAACAAAAGGAAATTCAACAACCTTCATAGCTATTTTATTATCGATTGTTTTACTGCATCGACTGTAACAATTCAAACCATTGAGCTAATACTACATGATTCAAACAATCTTGATCACTGAATAGATAAAACGTATTACTCACTTGCAACATTTCCTTTGCTTCTTTATAAAAAAACTTAGGATTAACTTACCTATTTGGTAGATACGCAGCACCCGCATGATGGAGAAATTCAACAGGTAATTTTTCTGACCGTACGTGCTAAATAATAAAGTTTAATATTAATAAAATAATATATTAATAAACAAATTTCTGTTGAAAGTCATTGTGACACGTATAGTCTTTCGAGTCCTTGCCGGGCACCGTTAGAGTTGGTAACGCTACGCATAAATATGCACGTATTAATGGCACGAATGAATGTGTGCATAACTGTACTGTATTGCCCCCTTCAGTGGGGCAGGTAACATAATTACAAACATATCTATAAATTAGTAAGTAGAGATTTTGCTATTTATTATAATAAGTAGTAGTAGAGCCATTAGGAATATAGAAGATACACAAAGCTCTTTCATTAAAGCACAGATGTTTATAGCCTGCCATAAGCGGAACTTAAGCTTTGAAACATCTTAATTTATTTTTTATTGGTTTTGCCACTATATTATTCACGACAGATATAATATTATTAACGTAAGATAATTCAATAGTCGACATATACATTAATGTAATATTAAGAAACGCTTTCGATACGTTATAATTACGTTAATCTTAGTTATTATTCCATTAAGATCTTCAAATATAAAACCAATTTCATATCGGTAACCCAGTAACTGTTTTGAGATCACCACAGAACAAATATTATTGGCCACATTGACCGATTGTATCTACATTTTTAGCAACCATGCTATATCCAAATCCAAAATATTAAATAACTGACAACAAAGCAATGCGTTTCATTGAAATGTTTTAAGATAAGATTATGACTAACTTTGTATAAATGACTTAGATAATTTTTACAATGCAAAGTTAAATGTACACAAAAGCTCTATAGAGGATATCTGTTATTATAGTAAAGAATTGTCGAAAATACCACGAATATCTATTGTATAATTGACGAAAAAGATTGGTTATAAAGAAGACAACCACAATGGTGCCACCGTCCCTCGCAGGAACTAGTTTTAAATTTTTAAATTACCATACCGAGCTACACTGGAAAACTATTCAGAGATATTTTTAAAGCTACAGTATGATCTGCAAAAAGTATGTCGTCTCACGCTTAATTTCGTAGCTATGCTGGTTTTTTTTGTAGCTAGTCTTCGATTTCTTTTTATTTAAAGTCGAGGTCGGGATTTTTTTGCTTTGCCAGCAACTTGTTCGGGCGTGCCGAGCTTCTACCTGCCGACGCTTTTAGGTTTTTTTGCTGCGATACTAAGGGGTTACTGGAAAGCTATGCCATGGAAGATTGGTACGTGACTGTGGTTAAAGACTATTAGGTAACATGGATCAGAAGAATAGTTCGATCCGTCAATTTGCAATTAGCCGTTACGACATATGCCTAAAAATAAAAATTCTTATTGCCCACGTTATTTATCCACATTAAAATGAAATTAGTTTTTAAGACGTGTTAAATTAATATTTTTTCTCATTAATCAACGGCACAACCGAATAAACTTGTAAATTGTAGGTAACCTAAATTATCAACTATTGAAAAACAGGAACTGTCATGGGCCGAGCAACCGCTTATCTCTCAGCTCAGCTATGGTTCTAGCCATAGGATACGACATCTTACCGATATTGTGGAGATAATTCATTTCATTTACAAATTTGACATACTGAAGATTTTGGATTTGATAGTAGTGTTACCTATTTATTTATCCACCGAAAGATATATCAAAGTAACATGGAATGAAATGCCTTTTTATAATCGCTAAGATGTCGAATTCTATGGCTAGAATCAAGACTAGAAAGTTAGGCGAGCGGACAAAAAATGTATGTGTGAAGTTTTAACAATTTCAAAATTTAAAAGTCAAGACTTTATTTTAAAATTTCGAAAAGTTGTTATGCGCAAAATAGTTATCTTTGTAACTTTTACGAAAACTATGAAAATGTTGATCTAAATTGAAATCTAAAATTACATACGGCTAAATAAGGATTGAGTTTTTTATCAAGTTTATAATACGTCAAACTTAGTTCTCATAGATTAGGTTGAGAGTCATTTATAAATGATAGGTAATTTATATCATTTCGTATGGAATGTAAATGAAATAATATTTGTATTCAAATATTTAAACTGTTAGATCATAGACGATGGAATGGAAAGATGAGAGAAATCCGTCGTGAAAGTAACGAATTCTATGAGGCTGACAATAATGTAGGCAACACATGCGCCATGTTGAATTGTGCTTAAACTATGATGTATGTAATTAAAATAATTAAGAGGTCTTAAAACGTCATGGTTATGTTATTTTTTATGCCAATAAATAGCGTTGGTGCCCCAATTTGATGTAATTAATTAACGAAAATATTCTTATTCTTTTATAGTGATATACTTACCGCTAATTGTACGATATGTATTCTATTATAATTATGAATATTTTAGATACATAAAGACTTATACAAACCAAAATATTAATGTCTCTCTCAATAGTCCAATGAAGTTTCTAGTAGGATGCATCATAATAAAAAAAATATGATCTTTGAAAAAAAAAAAGAAAATTATGCTCCATCTACTGATGCAGAAAAATATAATAATCACGTTCGATATTAAAGTCGCACGATTTTATTTCGTTATTTTTCCTATTCACAATGTTTTTTTTTTCATTAAACCAAGACTCTCAGATGGTCGTTTATAGCTACATCGAATTGATTGTTGAATTCCACTTTTAGTCTTTGTATTTCGGGGGTTTTGTTCTTTACATGTTTTTCATAAGGGCGTTTGATGCTCCTTTTAGAAGTTAAAGCCACCAAACTACTCGTATCTCTACGAAAATGGATCTACTATTCGTGTGTAATGTATGCTTGTTCTATTTCTGCGAAAATGAAATTTTCTCTGATTAATCTAACAATGTATAATGTGTCTGCAGGGTCAGGGCAGGATCTGACACTGTCATTGATGCGCAGATAATTCATGGATGTGATTATAACGAGAACGATTCTTTTACGATTATATTTATAAAAAAAAAACCAAGATTCCCAATAATTTGAAGAAATATCTATTAGAAATATCTATTAGAGATATATATATATATTTGCCCTCCAATAATATAAAAAATCAAGTAAAATGAACAATTAATACCGACTTTTTAGTTCCGTTTCGTTACATTCTTCAGTTTGCGTCACCACAGGTCCAGTGTGCAATGTGCTTAAGTCACACTTTCTGTATTCGATGACGCACGTACAACACTAATTTAAAAATAAATTAAGGAATTTAATAAAATTTACTTGTACACACTACGAATATTACGTATACCTATTAACTAGCTGTTTGTTTACATCTACAATGTTAGATTTACTAGAAAAAAACTAAATTATGCCACAGTTGGTGAACTCGTGAGTTAATAATTATATATGCAGGAAGTTCTGTGTATGGATGGTGTTTGTTTAGTTACCTGGGCACCACAGGATGTGGAGTTTATTTACACCGTTAGAAACGAGCAATATGGGGTGAACGAGCTAGGGGTCGTTGGGGAATATAGTTTACAGATGACACCGGATATTACTTTGTTTAATGAAAAATAGTAGATATGGAATATTATTCGTCCATGACAATAGTGAAAATTATAAAATACTAGCAAACCAAACCACATGTTGTTATGACGAATGATTGGCAAAAAATAATTACTTATCTTTTAAGTTAGACCAAATTGTTTGATTAAAATTGGTTCAATAGTTTCGGAATTTATTAATGACAAAACTGTGTGAATAATGTACATAAATTGCATGTGTGAATAATGTATATTCTAGCTTAATAAAAATTGTCTTGATTTTTTAATAATTTAAAACAAACTAAGTTGTGATAATGTCAACAAAAGACACTTTGTTATAGAACGACAACCTGCTTTCTCATTAGAACTCCGCCTATTTCTCACGACTTCCGGTTAGGTGCATACCCACCACAGTTTTCTTCCTATTCCGCTTTCTTGGTTTTATAGAGTATACTGCAGTTTGTAAGAGTAGAAAATGATTTCGTCTCCTATGATTATAGAAATACAGGTGATAACGTTTATGTTGTGTTAGGGTTCGGAAGCACTCCATAGAGGATCCCCTATTCTTCTCCCCCGGTGAGGGTACTTTGCATCGGGTTTTATCAGGTAGGTGACTCATGTATACACCTTGCCTCTACATCAGGGTTGAAGAGCTCTGATTTGAAGCATTAGGTGTATTTCTAGATCTAGCTTCTAACTATTTATTTGAATGCTGGTCTAGTTTGATGACATCTATTGTATTTCATTTACAGTTAAATAAGTGATTAATAAGTTTGTATTATATTAATATGTATAAATGTCAAATCAATTTCATTCTTATCAGACTCGAAGAACCAAATACAAATGCTTGCATCTAACGCTAGAATCTTTAACTTGTTTCGTATGTCAGCTAGACTAATAGGTGTTAGTTTGTCTAGGTATAGATTTATATATATATATCACTGTAAAATAAATAAAATTGTA